TTAAACTGTTAAGAATTATCTTGTTTTATTCACCATTGCTGTTAGATGGCGATTGCGTTGCTTCTGTGTTGGCAAAGCTCTGACAATGTTCTGGCAATTCTTCCAGAATCATTGCGATGACTAAATTATCTGTAATATTTTCACCAACCATTTGTAATCCAGTTGCTGCTCGCTCAGCTCGAATAATGTAATCGTTTATGTCATCCTCAGCAGCCATATGTAACGTGTCAATTCCTCATACAACGTGAGAACTCTTGGTTTTTCTGTACTTGCATAATGCTGTTTGAAAATACTGAATGCTGCTCGACCGTCGTTTGATGAATCATTCATTATTAGTTGTAGAAAACGTTTATTAAGAGCTTGTATGAGTTCAGCATAAGCTCGCCTATTGCTCTCTTCAAAACCCTCATCTTCTTCTTCACCCTTAATGGCATTGTATAAGCCTTTATCCAATGTGTATAGACATTGCCCCGAGATCATTCTAATGGAAGACGTTTTTTAATGGGTTCCATATCGTAATATCAATTCTCCGTTTTTATAACTCAGCTAACTACCAACAGCAAAACATGCAAACATACGTAAACCAGTCTTTGTTAAGGAATCTATTGAGTAAAATATTTGTGTGAAAAGAACTAAAAGGTGACATTGTTTTGTTTATTGTATAGCTAAAGATTGTATTCTTAACATCAACATTTGGTTTTAAATGTTTTATGAACCATATTATTGAAAACTGCATATAAATTTGCAGATTGCGTTATCATCCTTTGGAAATTATCGGAAGATGCAGATGATATGTTTGCAGAGCCCAGCCTTGGTTCTGAGGATGTTGTTAACAAGGAAAAATGGGTTGTTCATAAAATGCTGCGAAGGTAGAGTTTTCAAAAGTTGATGTTTCTTCTAGAAATCAAAAATCAAGTTTTCTTTGGATTTTTTGCATTAATTAAGGGTGATGTAATGTGGTGTTATCTAGTGGAGAGAATTATTTTGGGCCTTGAATAATTTTAATGCCTTGAAAATATGAAACAGATAATTTTTATCAATAGCTTGATAGCATATTAATTTTCTGTTATATGATTTGTTTTATGTCTATATTTTATATATCTATATTTTTTGTTATATGTCTATGTTTTTATTATATCTGCATGTCTCAACTTCTGTGCACTGTCTTTACCATTTTTTGTCTTATTTTACATGCAAAGAACGTAGAGCCTGAAAGCATCAAGTTGTATTTGATGAATTTTATGCAGAACTGGGCTGAACTGAGCTTACTATTTACTATAAAAATACTAATCCCTCTATACAAATTGAGTTTCTAAAATTGACATGTAATATGTTAGAAAAGTAATTGCTCAGAAGTGCATGTAAAAGTGATGCATGAAATAAACAGTGTGGCAAAGAGAAAGTGAACATTAGGGATTAACAGATTTGTGATTTTACAAGTGATGTAAAGGATGCCTGTTTTGTGATGTAAGAATGTAAAGGAATGAATGAGATTGGTGAATGAATGAAAATGGTGTAAACAGGCCTAAGCAGAGTCAGTACAAGATTATTTTATGCAAATATTTCATAAATTGTTAAAATTTATTTGTCAATGATTCAGAACATGTTAACTTTATGTGGATAACATATAATTTTTTTTTGATCACTTTCCTAATCTAGTTGTAGCTACAACTTATTGTTCAAGACCCACTTGTGGTTTCAAATTCTAAGGGAAGCTGAAAGTATGAGTTATGTCAACATTCTAAACTTAGTACACTTAGTATTTTTTATTTCTTTGCTAATAGCTGCTTAAGAGAATATGTTTTGAAGTGCACCTGCCATTTATGAAAAATCAAATTTTAGCTATTAAAAAGTTTTTAAAGCACTTTTGAAAAGCTTTGATTTTTTAATACAGAGGACATCTTGAAGATATATATGACCTTGCCTGGTCCCCAGATGGAAAACAGTTGATTTCAGGTTCAGTTGATAACAGTGCAATTATATGGGATGTTTCTAAAGGTATGATATTTAAATTCTTGACTTAATATGAGCAAGTTTTTAGTGGAACATTAGATTGGTGTATCCACCAAATACACCTATCTATTGACAAACGTGTTGTTACCAACTCAATGAGGCCTTTTTAACATTTGGAGACCACAGAGCCTGCGAGAAAGACAGTATGTTGCCTGTAGAACTCTTATATGATGCAATTGAGAAGACAAGATTTAGGCTCAAAGCAAGAAAATCTGAGTCAGGATTTGATTGGATGATGTAATGATGATGCAATGTAATTAAATGGATAGGGACAGGTGATTCAGTTTTTAATTTGATTAGTTTTTTCGTTCCAAATTATTTCCCAGCAGCTTGATCAAAATAAGTTTTCGGTATATTTATACAAATAGACTAAGTACGTTTTCAAAAGAAGTGGTTAAATCAGTAACTTCTTGCATTGCTTACAATGTATTGCTTAAAGCATACAATAAAACCAGAAATTTATTCCGTAATTTTATGTTGATTGTGTATATCCATTTGAACTATGTACCTCTTTTAATATATTAAATGGAAACTTTTTTGCAGCGCCAAATTCAGTTTCTGATATCTTGAGCATAATTTTGATAATTTAGCTAAACAAGTTTGAAAAGTTTTTGAAAATTTGAATTTTAGGTCATTTTACCAATATTATCAAAGACCATAAACATTATGTTCAGGGTGTTTGCTGGGATCCCCGTGGACAATATGTTGTCACCCACTCCAGTGACAGGTAAACTTTTATATTCATAATTTGATATAAGATTTTGCTAATGGATCCTTGCTTGTCCATCAACACTTCTTCTGAAAATATTTCAAGAAGTATCAGACCAATGGGGGAAATCCACAGCCTGCATCGCAGACTGGCAAATTCATGACAAATTAGTAAAAATCATAAAATATATCATGCAGGCTGTGTTGATATGCCATGATCTTGCTATTGAGCAAGTATGAAATATAGATTTTATCAGCATAATTTTAGCTTCAATCAACCAAAAATACCAACAAAAAACTGTGCTTTAACTAAAATTTTTTTATGTTGCTAGCAGCTTATATGGAAGTAGAATTTATGTTGTCACCTTGCCCTTCCTTATTTACTGCAGGCCTTGCATGGAAAGGGGCTTTATCAAGTGCAAACACCTAGAGCATAAAGTGATTTTGCCCTGATGAAATGTATTGTTTTAAAGTAATGTTGATCAAACTTTAGCCATTGTTTCAAATGACTGCATATTATGATGTATATGACTGCATATTTGTACATCGGAATCTGAACTTCTTAGTTTAACACAAACTATTTGTGATCATGTGATTCTCATGATATAAGAGATTTTATATTCACCTACTACAAATGTAAAACTCTCTTGCTTTAAGCCTCTATGCTGCTATGTGTCTGAGAAAAGAAATATTTAAGTATTTATTAGCAAGATAGTAATTCAAGTGCTATCAACAATTTAAATGTGCCAAAAGTTGAAATTCCAACCAGCCCTCTCTATCTTGAAAAATTAAGTATTTTATTTGTAATGTAAGTGACATAAACAGAGGCATGGGAGGATTTGTAACTTAGTAGGTAGAAGGAGCAATCTATTGTGGTCACCATTCATCATGAAGTCCTGGCTCTTGCAAACAATTAAAGTTTTCTAAAAACATCCCATTCTGTCTATTTGTTCCTGTGGAAAAAAGTTAAGCCTTTTATCATGCTGGAAAGCTTTGATGTAATGTTCCGGTTTTGGCTATCATGCTTAGCAGCCCATTCTTATATTAAAAAGGGGAAGCATGTGAAAAGTATTATAACAATAAAGTCATCTGGTTGCCATTTGTATATGATAACAGTCACAGCAACTATAATGAAAAAAGCTTGATTGAACTTCAGACCTTTAACTTGATGGCTGATTGCAAAGCCCTGTTTTAAAAATAGCAGCTTTTTTCATTTCAGCACTGCAACCCGTCATTGCTGTTTTTATAAAAAGTCTAGAATGTTAAATCTTGCTTCCATATACCTTCGTAAAAACTCTAGTGTAAAATGTATCATGTATCTGTCTTTGTAGGACATGCCGTGTTTACTCTTTGTCAAAAAACCGATGTGTGCAGACTATTCATAAATCTTCTTTTCCTGTTTCCGTTCCAACAGAGGATGTTAGTAACCCTGTAAAGCTTCTATATCATTATTTATTCTGTTGCCTTTCATTTCTAACAGTCATTAGAAAAAAATGATTTTTTTGAGAGGACCATCCTTTTTGCTCACAAGCTTTTACGTTCCAACAGAAGATCTAAATAATCCTGTAACTCTATATCTATGCTTATGACTTATTCTAGCAAAAAATTTAGTTGAAACCTGGATATTTCTATCAATCGTGAAGAACGTTATCTATTTATCGATGGTATTTCTTAGAACTTCATTCATTGCCAATGTTTTCAGTGAAAGTCTAACGTTGAGGATCGAAGATTACCGTGCTAAGTGAATAATTATCTATCCTTGTGGTTGAGCAATCGTTCTACTTATTTTAGGGAAAGAATCACAAGACTTCAAAATTGTTCATGGATGAAACAATGCAATCATTTTTTAGAAGATGTCAGTTTTCACCAGATGGCCTTTTGCTTGTACTCCCTGGTGAGGAACCTCCTCCATGAATATTTTAATGTGATTTTGCTGAAAAGCTTATTCAGTTTTATCAATTATTGATAATCCAAATTATCGTACATGATCTGTACATCCCATTTGCAACTTCATCGTTGTTTACATTAAAGTGAGACCAGGTGAAGCGTGTCCTGATTCATAAGAAGAAAAAGAAAGAAAGTTTTTTTCAAATGAATGAAGGTCATCGAATGCCATTTCCAAGCTGTGTGACTGAATGTTTTGAGTGCTTTGGTCTATTATTTTGTTTTACTCTTTTCTTTGATGACTGCATTACGCATAAACTCATGATTGAGATATACTGCTTTTCCATGGTACTTGCTGCATCCAGCTAATTACCCACTTCTTTTCACGCTTGCGGCAGTACGCCCCTTCCCTGGAAATTTTTTATAAAAATTTTTACAAAGAAATTGATTAGAGTATTTCTGTTAAGAACAGTTAAGAACAGAAAGTTAAGAACATATTTCATACTTAAAATCCATATTTCGTTTGGTATAGGTGGAGTGTACGGCGCGGGGGAAAAACCAGTCAAGGCAACATATGTTTTTTCAAGAGGAGGTTTCAACAAGTTCGTATTGTCTCTACTCATGTAGAATTTCGCCCCCTTTTTCTGCCATGGATAATTGCTTTGATATGTGATATCTCGTTTAAGTTGTAGAATTAATGAATCATAGCTTTGATATGTTATGCCTCATTTTAAGAAGATTTTTTAAGAATGTTTAGACCTTTCATTTCCTTCAATCAAGATTTCATGAAAATAACGTTTCAACTTTGTTGCGATATGTTTAAAGTCTTAGGTTTTTCAACAGCATTTTGTAACAAGTTATTCTCTTATTTTGTTGTATCTGGGGCTTGAAATTTTTTTTATTCTGTGTCCTTTTATTCTGATTGCTGTTACAGAAGAGCAAATGCCTGAATGTTAGTAAGGTTAATATAGATTTTAGGTTGATGATTTCTTCAGGTGCGAACAAACAGACAATTCTGACAAAAAAGGCCTGGAGATATGAAACAGCTTATTTCAAATAATGTCCTTGGATATTCTCCCGTAATAAATATGTACTTCCCTAAGATAATAACTTTAAATGATTTAGTTTTTAAGTATGTGAAGTATGAATTGTTTTTAATAGTGGAATGCTGTTTTGTATCCATATAGGCCAGCTCTTTGTTTGCCGGGATCCAAGAAACCGTCAGTTTGTACTTGTTTTTGTCCAGTTGCATTCGACAATATGAGCAGTGATGGGAATAAAGAAAATGAATCTGAAAGTTTCTTCAAGTAAGCGATTTGAGTGTTCTACTTCTTATAGCGAACAACTGAAAGAACGTGTTAAAAAAGACTTTTTGTACTGAAAGGCGTCAACAAATAAATCTATGTACAAAAATCAAGGCTAAGTTCTCGTCCAATTAGATGGTTTGTTTACAAACTATTAAGCCAATCAGAACCCGTAAATTTGGCTTCGTTTATTTACAACTTTTTCGATATCAACCTTAGCTGAGGGTAGGCACTACTGGAGCTTCAGTTTGCCACGAAAATATACGTGATATAAACTCAACCAATATCCACAACGTTTGCTGAAAAAGTTACCGTTCTTTTTAAGTGCACTCCCCAAAATATCCCAGATATCATTTGAAGGACCTTCTACAAATAATCTCGACATGACAAAAAGCGATAAGATAAAGACTTTTGTATGTATAATGTAATAATCTTTTTCGTACGATTATAAGTTATTTGAATGATTCTTCTGATTCTTGGCAATATATCTATGTGTTTTTTCTTAAGACTCCCGTATCGGATGTGCTATGCAGTGGCAACTTTAGATTCCGTTGTGTTTTATGATACACAGCACCAGTATCCATTTGGCTTTGTTTCCAATGTCCACTACGCCTCCTTGACAGATATGACTTGGTAAGTACTCTATTCAAGGATTCCCTCTGTAAAAATTATTAAGATAGATGTTGCCAGAACTGCTATGCCGTGGCAACTTTAGATACTGTTGTGTTTTATTATACACAGCACCAGTATCCATTTGGCTTTGTTTCCAATGTCCACTATGCCTCCTTGACAGATATGACAGATATGATATGACTCTATTCAAGGATACCCTCTGCAAAATTATGAAGGTAGATGTTGCCTGAACTTTTCCATCAGCAATTGCTGAGGTGTATGATGGAAAGAATGTTAATTATTTTGCTAAAGGTAGATTTATTTTAACTGCACTTGTTACTACCTTTCTTCCTAAAGTAGGACACCGAGAAGCTGTGCTTAGCAAGCAGTGATCTGGTCCTTCCTTGATGTGACCACACCTCGTGATTCCTAAACCTTTAGTTACAGAGAGCTAGAGAGACTTTTCGCACCTAGTAGAAGTTTGGTCATGTCAGTGACTTGAACGATCAACCTTTGGATCTGTACCCCGCAACCCTATCCACTGAACCATCCTTGCACCTTCAGAAAGAAGTTTCAAGCGGAAGAAACGTGTATTCAAGTGCTTACATCACTCTTAAAACCGTTGAAGGCTTATAATTGCTAAAAGCTTTTCACAAAAGCTTCTATTGATGGATATTTTGTGCCTTATTTAACAGGAAAGTAAAGAGAGAATTGTTATTGGCCTAATTCCTGTTATTCTATAAGCATAATATCTTCTTTGTGTCGTAACGATTCTTCCATCAATAATTCTCTGTTGCTGTCCTCTAGGTCTTCTGATGGTAGAATCCTTGTTGTTTCGTCCCTCGATGGATATTGTTCTATCGTGAGTTTCAAAGATGGCGAACTTGGGAAACCAAGTGAAATCAACCCAACAGAATATGTCAGTAACAAGCTAAAGGCTAAACGCGAAGCCAAAAAGAAGGCAGTTAACATCGATGTTGCAAGTAAGCTTTTTAGCAACATTATCTCTGCTTTTTTTTAATTCACTTTCTAAGTACATGCTCTTTTCTTTTACGAAAAAAGTAGGCACCAAAAGATTTGAAAGGGATTTTAGCCTTATTCGTAGTTATTGTTTATGTATTTTAATCATATTTATATCTTAATCATTTGAATTTTTTTACTTCAGATTTTGAAGTTTAGATTTAGCTTCACATTTTTAATTTCTCAAATCTCCTTTACCTAAAAATGCAAGTAAAATTCAACCAAGTAAAATGGCTCTAGATGGCTCTAAATTATTTCCTATAATTGCAAACCCACCTTGTCCTTCGACGTTTTTAGCCTATGAATTAGCCGAGTTGCCCTCATTCCTCCAAAAAATGTTGGAATTATACCATATCCATCAAAGTTTCAAAATTATAGATTTCCTTCAATTTTGAAAGGGGAAAGGGAGGCTGCTTATGTGAACGCATTAATGATGTTGAAGACTTTTCGCAGGCATTGTAGCTACTGGGCGGAGAAAGATTCAGAGAAAAAGTGATTTTAACTTCACAATGTAAACACTCTGTTTTCATTTACAGCCAAGGCAGCAGCTTCTGTAAAGGATAAGGAGCAAGAAGGGGGGACTCCACAACGCCCTGCAACGCAGAGCAAGGACCAACCGACGTTATTTCAATGCATCACGCCTGCTCGTAAAAGAAAGCGGCCTTTTAAATCTCCGCAGCCTTTATCGTCCAGTCCCCTTGTGGCAGTGGCTAGTGGAAATGGTAGCCCAGGTAACTGTATCAGGCTTGCTAGTTACAAAAGTATCAATAAATGAATGAATATTTCTGGGTTGTTTTGACTTTCAAGTCCTGTTATTGCTTAATTTCTAATAAATAACTGGTTTATGGGGCCTTATGAAGTAATGAATTCCATTTGAAGACTGGAATTAACCAAATGCACTGACAGCATGACTAAAAAATAGCAAAATTTTCTAAATTATTGCAAGAAAATCACTGCAAGAAATATTCTAAAATGTATTTTAAGCTTATCTAAAGGGTGTGGTCGCAAAAACTTTCTGCTCGCGACGCTCGCAGGGAAACCTCATCTTTCAGGTATACCTAGGGCTTCCGACAACTTATCACTGGCCCTTCCAATGTACCGTTAGCATAACGATTGCCCCATAAAATCATAGGCAGAAAATATCGTGAAACATTTAAGTGCGTTTTTCAAAGAATGGTTCTTTCGTCTAATAAAGCTATCAACTCGACAGTACGGCGAAAAAAAAGAGACATCTTGTTGCAGATTACACCAAAAATATATATCTGTTTGGGGTTTTTATAGTTATTCGTATAAATAAACGTTCAGTTTTTATCTCTTTCATAATTGTATAAGTTTTTGTATGAAGTTAAATGGTTTTCTACTTCTTTACGATAACCCGTTACATAGATGACGTCATATTTGTAATTCACAGTTGCTACATTTTTGCAGATGCCCCGTTCGATCTTACTGGCAATGACTGTAACGAGCAGTCAAAAAGTGCACAAGCATCTCCCCTGCTGGCATCCAGTGTAGCATCTAGAGAAGGTACCCCCAGTAACGATATTGATAAAAAGACTCCAAAACGTGCCAACCTGATAACACTTGGCTTCAAACGAATTCCTAAACCTGGCTCTAGCTCTGAATCAAAAGATGAAACTCAAGAAAACCCAGAAAATGGACACAAGCCACGTAGAATTCATTTTGTAACACTGCAGGGTGACATGAAAGGTATATTATTTGCATCTAGCCATCGTTTTACTGTATTCTCTCTTGTATTCCTGCCCAATCTACTATTCCAGCCTCCCTAATAATCCCGCCTTTTTTCTATACCATGTGGGGGTTTGATTAAAGAAAGGAATCAGTGGATTGCAAACGTGCTTTGGTTTTTGCATGATTTGCGGACATTCAGTGTAGTGTCTCATCATTTTTATTTGATGACAGTAAGTGTGAATAATGTTTTAGCCAATCGAGCAATAACCAGGCAATGACGTAGTTGTTGTTACTTGATATTTGGTATTGTTTTTAGAAGACAAAATTAAGTTCTATGATGTATTCCTAATAACAGGACAGCCGTCTACTGCCGAGAACAAGTCAGTCAACAACCCGACGCCAGTTCCAACCGAAGTGACAAATGAAAGCACGCCTAGTGAGGCGAAGCTGATAAGCGACAAAAAAGAGACAAGTGATGGTGCATGTAGCCCAACGCCCCAGATAAAACCAGCACGCAGAGTTGCTCTGTTATCTGTACCGGCTAAGAGAGATCACTCTGGGGGAATAAAAGAAGGTGCAGAAGGTAGTCTTGGTGCAACCAACGTAGTCAGTGATAATACTCAGAAATCGACATCTTCCATACCGAAATCTACAGAAGGAGAAACAGGTATCCCAACAGACAAGGCTTCAAAGTCCACAAGGAGAGTTGTTGTGGTGAATCTCGTAGACACTGAAGACAAGGTTGAAGAAAAACAGGACCTTTGTTTAGCCAAGGCGAAAGATCCCGTCTTAATACAGCTATCACCCAGTGGAACCGTTGACCAGAGGACGACCCTTGATAAGCACAACGATAAATCAGAAGGAGAGTTGGGTGCAAAGGCACAAGGTCCTGTTTGCATAAGCATTGATGAAAGTGGGCCTCCTCGTGAAGATGGTTCTTTTCAAGATTCACACCACAAAACAATAAGCGATGCTGTGAAAGAGACAAACTCAAACGTGCAAGAAGCTTCTGTTTCAAATGATAATAAACAACATGAACCACGCAGTATAACAGCAAAGGAAGCTAATTCTTCTCCGGGAGGGAAAGCTCCACGTAGAGTAGAATTCATGACTTTGAAAAAAATGTAAAATTGAAAGAAAAGTTTGCAATAATTCATTAGATGTATTGATCTGATTAAGCCAAGCACAACCACCGTGCATCCTGGCTTGCATCTTACACTGTAAATACTTTTGCAATCAAGTAATATTTGATATCTTTAGTTCCAACCATTCAATTTGGCATTTAGCATACCTTTGTTATCAGCTTAAAATCTTTCATGCATGTGTAGCAAATTTTGAAATTATAGAGTATTTTGAAAATACAAATGTTTTTTTTTAAATACCTAAGTATCAATTTTATTTTTATTCTTAAATTTTGTAGATTTTTTTTCTCGTATTTTGTTTCAAATTCTTTTTCATTTCTATCTCTTTGTTTTGCCATTTTGCTTAAATATTTCTAAATATTCGTTAAAAAACCGGCCTTGAAGCGAAATGTAGCAAATATGAAACACCGCAATACGCCGAGAATAAACAACAATAAAAACACGTAATGCTGCCGGTAGCCTCGTTTCGTTGGCCCTAATGTTTTTATTTTGGTTCAGGCAGCGGCTAAAAGGAAATGGTAAGCTATAAATTGCTCGTTAGCTGTCCGTGGATGTATCATTTTAATTTATTTATATTGAAATGCTGAAAATTAATGTTCGGCTGGTAGGTGAAAGCAGGACTGTCGATATCGAAAAGGGCTGGTCGGTAAGGCAGCTGAAGGAGCACCTCGCTGAAATCTCTGGGCATGACATTGAAGATTTAAAGATAGTTTTTGCTGGATCAGTACTGCCAGAAAATTTAACGATTGATGTAAGTGAAATTTCTTAAATATATTTTTCAATGATTTCATCTCTTTACTTTTGAGCAAAAGCAAAAGTTTTATCTGGCTTTAACGAGGAACTGTATTGGTATAGTTTTTTAAAGAAAGACAAAGCAGCACAATAAGATAGCTTCTCTAGACTTAGCTCTGAACATGTCAGATTGAATTTAAACCTACAGTGAAACACCTCAAATATCTAAGAACTGAAGAACCTCTGTTTTTTTCTGATAAACTTTAAGGTTTTTATTGAGACGTTCCCAGGACCAGCTTATTGCCATGAGATGGCCGCATTACCAGGAATTGGCCTATCCTTTTTAAACTACGAGGTCTGTCTAAGAAAAATGTAATTCTTTGCAAGGATTTACAGAAAATACATCTTAAATGAGTTCAATGATATTACATGATCAACCTGAACTAAATTTTTATCAATACTTGGCTTAGACCTCAGGTTTGTGGCTTCTATATACATAAAGTATTATTCTGATACATGAAAAAGCTATAAGCTATTAGTAACTTTTAAGTGTAAGCTCTACTCTGTATTTGTTTTAAGACAAACCACCCTTTGAAAACATTTCTATTATGTTATAAATATCCAGTATGCTTTCTTGGATTCCTGCTTGCCACAGATTCTAGCATAAAGTTATCCAAAAAAGATGGCTAGCCAGTAGAACTGGTTCACAAAATACAACTGTGGGTTTTATAAATGTTTTACTTTGCCACACATCTGATGCAAAATGGGTCTCCTATGCAGACGGGATACATATCTGTATTGAAACCCAATTTAGTAACTTTTGTGCTTATTGTTATTACATCTTTGTCTAGCAATGTGATCTGGGACAACATTCAGTGATCCATGTACTGGCAACAACACAGCATAATGGAGTTCAGCCAAGTATTTCATCTGCATCTGTTCCTGCTACTGTAGAAAGAGCTCAAAATATTCAAAGTAGGTTGTATTTCATTTGTTAGTTTAAGAAAAGAAAGTCATTGTTAGTCCTCCATTTCTGATCATTCTTCCCATTTCTAGACTTCTTTCATGCTACCATTCACTTGTTTCAGTCCCAGGCTGTTATGTCCCATACCATAAAACATCACATTATTTAACATAATCAACCTAAAGTTTATTTTCATTTATCCCTTTATTATATTGTGATTGCTATTACTCAGGGTGTAGGCCTGAGATTCTTTGGTAAAAATTCGTCTTATTTCATGTTTGATTTGATTGTCAAATTTTAGGTTTAAGTTTGTTTTGAAATGTTTCTAAGCATGCTTGTTATAGTTATAGTTTAAAAATCTTACTTAGGGTGTACTTAGAATTTCAATGATATATACATGGGGTATAAATAAATGTATTGGGCACACCAATTAACAGACACAGTGTCAATGTGGACCCAAAAGGCATTTTTATTCCAAGAAAGGCTGTCATGTGATTGATTTCAAGTTGTGTTTTAATTTGCCTTTTTCAATATTATTTCGTAGGCAGGGGAAGCAGTCAAAGATTTTTTGTATATTGCAAATTGATTTGTAATAAAGCTCATCCAGGTAAACTCAGGGTTAGATGCAGAGATTGCAAGGACGGGGCTTTTACATTGTCAAGGGTATGTAAACCTGGTTGCTTTTGTACCCAATATGTTTTGCTGATAGTAAACTCAAAACAAATATAAGCTTCAGGAATATTAAATTTGATAAGATAATCAATTATCTTTATGTCCAAAATAATTTGAAGATATTCTTATGTTGTGTTTAAATTTCCAGCACCAGTGGAACATTTTCTAACTTTGAAATTTTTTCATACCAGGAGTGGTTGACAGAATATAAATTTTTATTTGTAGAATAATTATAAAAGCTTAACGTACTTCATATTTCATGTCTCTTCGTTTTAACAATGGGTTTATAAGATTTCTTAAGAGGGTGCACTAAATCCATTGTCAAAAATTATACAAAATTTTTGCCACTCCTACTTGGTCAAGTATTGGGGGGCAAGTCTATTGTTTTGATAAGATGACATCATATTTCCCATTGTTTTAGAACAAAACACTACTGTCCTCCAAAATATTGGGGGCATCACCTCCTCACTCCTTTCAGTACTATCACAGGTGTCTGTTGCTGTTCTTGACTATATAAAATATCTCGAATATGTATCTCTGATCATACAGATCTTTGATTGGCTTTTTCCACAGGGTCCTGAGGGATGGCATGATGTGACAAAAAGAAACAAGATAAAAGGCATTTGCAATGAGTGTGACTGTGATTTTGCTGTTAGTTTGTATTTTGTCTTGATGTAAAATATTTTTTGGGGTTTCTATATTCTTTGCTGTTTTCTTTAATTTCACAAGACAAGGTAAGCTTGTCTACCTTCTCTGGTATTTTTTCAGCATCCAAAGATTCTTTACCAAAGTAAAGTAACTCTACCTTATAAGTTTTATTGTCTTAAAGGTAAGTTTATCTTCCTTCTCTAGGCTTTTATCTAAGAATTTCTTAGTAAGCTGAGTTAAACATTATTTCCTTTGTTCATGATACTACACATGGAAAAATACACAGCACAATCAGAACTTTTAAGATTATCCAAGTCTATATTTTTTATGTCAAATTAATGCTAGTCTTCTGTATTCAAATTTCGTAGGAGTTCTTTTTTAAATGCACTGGACATGATGCCCTTGGAGATGCTAGAGATGAGGCAATACCTTTACCTCAAGTAGGCTCTAATGCATTTAATTCTCCATGTCTTGGATGCATGGATATTCTGTAAGTAATTCTTTTTTTTCAAAAGTAAAGTTATAAATGACACTGCAACTTTCCTTGAATTATGCAGTTTCCAGGTAGACACGTAGGTTGCTGAGTGCATATTGGTACTGTTGCTTTGATGGGATAACCATATAAGTGGGGGGGGGGAGACAAAATGATAAAGCAATGGAAAGAGTTTAGAAAAAAATTTTTGATGAAGCTTTGAAAGTACAACAAAATATCGTAAATACCCTGAAAATGACAACGTCTTGCTTCATTTCTAAATTACACTAGGGATTAAACAAATAAAATCTCACACGTGCACATAGTATATATTTTTCAAGCTATCTTAATAGGCTCGAAGGAAGTAAATCAATTTGCTTTTTCTGTCACAGCTTAGAATTTTACTTGGCCTTGTGCCTCAAGCTCGATTTTTTATGGTTATTCATTTGGTTTGTTTTGAGTAGACAGAAAAAGAGAACAGTGTAGTGTTCATATTTCTAACGTACGTACAATGTACGAACAATGTACCTGCTTTTGCCGGGCAAAAGAAGTAATTTTTGTACTCACCCTGTAACCTTTTCGCAACAATTGTAACGTATTATCATTTCTGTAGTAGTTAAACTTTCAAAGTATTGCGTCAAAGTATGAGCTTTGAAACAGAAACGCATAAAAGCAGAATATAAGAGTATTTATCTTTTGACCACGCCTTTAAAGAGTGAGATACACATTGGCAATAATCACTTTCTAATCCCTCTAAAAAATATTTTGACTTCGCCCCTGTTACTGAGACCCTGTTTGCTCGTTGCTGTCAGTCAAATTATTAATTCGATCAGCAAAAAAGCTTCTTTTCCAACTTTTTATACAGATTAGATTAAAAAATTCAGAATTTTCTGCAATGTTTCCCGCAATTAAAGGGATATGATTCGCTTCGTGTATATTTGCCCTTATATTAGGTTTTTTTACTTATTTTTCGACAGTTTTTTAAACTTTCTAGGGATCCTGTTCTGACATTTCCTTGCGCTGAAAAACATTCCATGTGTCTGCCATGTTTCTCAATGTTTTGCCGGTCAAAAATAAGAGACCGAATGTTGATCCATGTGGAGCACCCAAGGCATATTGGATATACTTTGTGCTGTCCTGGTGGTGGAGGTTAGTTCGTTTCAATGTTTTATAAACCAAATAATGATATCATTTTTATGCAACAATCACTTTTTAATGGCCTCCATGCAACAACTTTTTGCAAAGAAGCATTCCCTTGAGTAGGTTATTGACTGCGCACAGAAATTTATCTTCCTCTCGCCAGTGTAATTTCCTTTCCTTAAATTTCACGATTGTAACTTGAAGAAATTATAGAAAAACTTCTTTTTCAAATACCATCGCCATCATTATAAAAACTCTCCTCACTTTTCATTTAATAAGTAAGGATGGGATTCACATTTGAGGCATGGGACGCTTATTCGAATAGGCGTGGGCGTGCGCTCATTCGAAGATTTACAGTTTCTTAGCTGATTTCTTTTAATTTAACTTCAAAATTTCTGTTTACTGCTATTGACACAATCATTTTTATCCTTATTTTGAAAGAATATAGTAAAAAGTACCAATATTGATGGCATTTAAACATATCCGGTCTGATATCATTTTCTAATTATGAATTAAACTAGCCCCCCCCCCCCCCCCCCCCCCCCCCCCCCCCGTTTTAGACGTTGTGGTTTTTTCGATCATGTTTTTCCATTAGTACTTTTAAGCTATTGTATAATTGAAGCTCTAGCGTTAATCGCCTGTAACCTTTCTGGCAAAGCATGTTTCTTCCACATTACGGGAATCTCATCTCCCACGTTTTAATCTGGATTAAATCTATTTTTTGCTTTTTAATTGACAGAAGATTGTGAAAGTGCATACGTCGAAGATATTCATCACTTTAGAGTGGCTGGGAATGAGCTGGTAAATTTGAGATTTTTTCTTGCACTTTTGCTAGGAGAATTCTTTAGCATAAAGTTTCAAGACTAATGTAGACAGCAAATGTGAATTGTAAAATCTGACTATCAAACACTCCTATAAAAATAGCTTTTTCTAAAACGAACGAGAAGCAAACAAATGATTTATGCGCAGAAATAAACAAAACATGAAGTTGATTTCGCATTTAAGCACGAGCTTTGCTGGTATTTCTAATCAATGCTTGTAGTTCCTATTTTCCTGTTTTTCTTTTGGTCTTTAAATCATGAACTTTCCATTGCAAATGCGTATTTTGGGGTAATGTCTTGATAGAGGGAATGCCTTGATTGATTTATATTTCCATCCTAACATGCAGCAGGTTTAAATGCAAAAGGCAAGCATTTTATTGCATATTACAACATGCTATGGTATTTACATGGTATTATCAAAAAGGCTGCTTCCTTGTTGAAATGGAACCTGAAAATACTCTTTCTGCACATTACTTTTGTTTATATATCTTCAACTAGCCGTGTGCATATCGTATTGAAAGCGAACCTCGTTGTTACGACAAACAAGGAACCACCAAGCCTTTCAGGATTGTTTCCTATAAATTGCATTTGATTTTGAATTTGTCAGAAGTTTTTGACAGATTTTTAGTAATGTAATGAAAAATGGGACAGTGGGAATTGAATTTTGGGAGAGGGCAAAACTAAGATTTAAGACTGCATGAAAAGGCGAAATTTCCGTAATTGTTTGATAAATTGTCCGCTTCTATGAGATGTAGCTCCCTGACCCCATTTAGTTCATCCCTGTATTCATACTTCTTTCAATTTTTCATTGTTTGGCTTCATTTCCGTTTATTCTAGTACGAAATTTATCAACGATTCGCAACGGAGGACCTCGTTATTCAAAGTGGCGGGATATTGTGCCCTGGGCGTGGCTGTGGCAGTGGGCTGTTCCCTGAGCTTGGCTTGCGTAGAATTGTCTGTGAAAAGCGATCAGGAGGCTGCGGGGTCGGTATTCTTAGTTCATAGTAAAGACCAACATTTTTAACTGTATGACTCCCCCCTCCCCCCTACCACCCCTCCCATGTTCATGTCGCCGATGCTCGTGATTTCCTTGCTGTGGGAGAAAGAAGATATAGAAGTCTTTTGCTGTTTCATAAAAGTTTCTGAAACGCATATCAGTTTCGTTCAAGCATTGAAACGGATACCGCCTCAGAGGATACACTTTTGGATGGGGGACCGATTAGCATACTACACCGGCACGAATTTCATTACGGTCAACGCTATAGAAACAGAACAGTACCCTGAGTAACAGAGTCTCCATTATTTAGTCTCAGAAATATAATTAGAAACTAGTCATAGAAAATTTCTTCAAGCACTCACTCTTTGCCACCGCAGGTGTCTACAATATTTTATCTCCAAATTTATGAGGCTCTGGTACCCAGGGTATCAGAACAGTGGCTCAGAACAACACCCGATATAAAACTCCTGCAGGCATGAAAACTCGTGTCGGCTTGAGTTTCATTTCGGCTTTCATGTAAAAAGGGCCTCAAAGTGAATTCATGCAATTATATGTGAACACACTGGTCAAGCTTCTTTTAACTGATGAATTAGCTAGGACGGCTTTTTGCTCAAAGAAAGCAAGATACAATATATTTGCATCTCGTTTCACCTACCCTGATTAATATATTTTGTGACAGTCTCTGTACTTTAACATCAAAATACCGAAACAATTTAATGGCAGTAATGGTATAATCGGCTTAGTTCTCTGCATAGTGTTTACCTCAAGCAATCAAAAAATATAATGCCCCCGTCCCCTGCTCACCTTCCCATGATATGAACGAAAATAAACTGTTGATTACATCGAAACACTCGTGCAATTTCTCTTGATTTTCATTATCGCACTGGTTTTTAACATTATTTGAGGTTATTCTGTTCTTCAAGGGTCTTTAGTCCAATTGTTCATGTTCTTTTAACGGGTAGCCTATATCAGATATCTTGAACCTACCTGTTTAACTATCCTGAAAAATGTTAGCCTATCTTTTAATCAGAACGACTTGGCAAAAGTGCTGGTTTAAATTGAGGTTTGAATGTCACTCTTCTGCAATGCTGAATTAATTTAAATCGCTAACTAACCATCAAGCCAAGATATTTTTATCCTTCATCAGACCAAGATATTTTGCCTTAGCTAACAGTTTTTATTTTGTTTACGCAAGGCTTAAGTGCGTTGTACGGCACAATGGTATTTTCAGTGCTGCTTTTTAACTTGCTAAATTCATTTTTCTTTATCAGTGTGGCGAAAGTGCACCCTTATAACCTATGCCCAAGAGCTTCATATGAACGCTTTTATCGTCGTTTTTTGTTAAATTGTCTCCATTTTCAATGCTCTTTAGTATTCATGGCCTAAGCTTTAGCTTCAAACACCCTACTGTAAAACATTTTCTTAGAAAGATCTTCGTCGAAAATGTTGCGTTGCATATGAAATTGTGTGCTTAAAGTTATTCATATGATTCTTAACTTTTAGCTTGTGTTCTGTCGAAATTGCCTCCAAGATTACCATTATGGTGATTGCAATCAGTTAACCACGGGAACTGACGCTATCTCAACAGTTAGTTGATAATTTTTTAATGATGTTTTTTTCTTCTTGTTGTAACTTTTTAAATTGCTCTTTCCACCTGCCGAACAGCTATCTCAGTGTTGCTTGCATCCTTACTTTCCAGCTTCACATCTGCCCTTGTTTCTAAATGTTACACCACACGCCCTTAAGCGTCTCATATTTTGTCTTTTTTACTTAGACCTTTAATCTAGAGAAAACATTTACCAAAACTCTATAGCCCCTTACTTATTGAATCCGTCTAAATTCTGCTCTTTTCTTTCGTTAAAAGGACTATAGTGTTCTGGCTCAAAATGCACGAAAATCTCGACGCGATATGGAGAAATGCTTGAAGGTAATCCGTGAAACAACAAAACCGTGTCCAGGCTGCAAATCTGCCACAGAAAAAGCTGGTAAGATTAGCATTAGTACTCGATATAATTGTGTTCTCATATTTTGATGATTAAAAACCTCTTTTGTTACAAAATGTCTAAAACATAGTAATTGATAATTGTATTGTGTGGCGTTTTGTCCTAAAATTGCATTCAGCTTTGAGATAAAAAAGATAACATTGTGAATGCTGTGTGCTTTGGCAGCTTTGTGCCAGGAACTATTTAATGCTTTCGGTATTAAATTTTGCACCGACGATTTGTCTGACCGCTAACCCATCAATCTGGAAATTGTGCTGGAAACCTTTTGTCTAATTTGTCACTCTGTATGCTCGGCTAGTGCCTATTTGACCGTTGCTTTTTGGCCAAATGTCTTTTTGGCTAACGTCTGTTGGTTGAATGACTTATAGACAAATGCCTACTTGGCCAGCGCCTTTGGGCTATTAACGGTTTTTTTAGACCAGTGCCAGTTGAGCTAGTACTTGTTGACTTAATGCATGTTGGGTTATTGCATGTTGAGCCAGTGCCTTAAAGAGGATTTTCTGGCCAAGTGCCGTTGGGCTATTGCCTGTTGGGTAATTGTCTGTAGACTCAACCTACAAAGTTTCCCTGCCAATTTTAAAGAAGATGAGCATCGCCCTTTGGACTAGTGACCTTCGAAGAGTAGTAAAGTGACGTTACTCAAAGTTATTATTTGAGGCTCTTTCCATTGAATAGTTTTTGGAAAATAATTGTAGATTGTTTATTTGGTAGGTGGCTGTAATCACATGACTTGCCAAAGGTGCCGATTTCAGTGGTGCTGGAATTGTGGGATTGAATGGAACTCAAATTGTCAAGGAGATCACTGGTTCAGAATACTTGAGTACTAAATTTGCTAATTTATTTTAGTTCATGGTCTATGAATATTTTTTTTAAACTAAGCTATAGTTATTTCTGCCCAACCTTATACAAAGAAAGCTATGGTTGTTTTGCCAAATAGAAACATAGGTTAAGTCTTTTTGCCAAAAAGAAACATATTGGGGTAAAATTCCGATAGATCGCTTAAAAGCCAATATTGAAAGCTTATAAAGGTTTCATTTTTTATTGAGTCCAGTCAGACAAAACGTATAAAAGCAATGTTTTTATTCTTCAGGCAAATATAGTCCTAAGCAAGATAAATCTTTTACGCAGATAACATGCATCTAGCACTGAAGGGTTGAAGATATAAATGAAAGCTAAGATCACAGATATGTTACAATATATCATCAGATCATGAAATCTTACAACGGATTACAGACATCCAACATCAACATAAGATTACAAATATCTTACAACAGATCATGGATATTTAACATAAGATTACAAAATAACAGATTACAGATATCTAGTTTAAAATCAAATATATCGTACAATATATCACAGATATCTTACAACATCTTATAGGTGACGTCATTTGATCGTATTTATGCACTTTTGAATAAACACTCAAACGGAATCTTTCGAAAACGCTTCGATTATAATCTTAAAGGGAACCGTAACGAAGAATGCCAACCGCTGACAAATGTTCTTCTTTAGTAAGGGCCTTGTCCATTTAAAACCTAGAAACTCGTGTTCCTCCACTCGAAAAACTTCAAAATTCTTATTCAATCGTCTATTACTCAACCTTTGTTCGCGAGATGAAGGATGTCAACCGAATGTAAAAGCACTTAAGTAAGGTCGAGAGGGAGGAGTTTCAATCTAAACTTTATGCGTAAATTGGGCAAGATTGTCAATAAGATTTGGGTTTTTATTCTTCCTAACGAATAAAGCGCGACTTGCTGAGAGGGGAATTGTCTCGCATTAGAAGGCTGACTTTTGCAGCAAAGGAGTCCTGCACTGTGCTCACGCAAACAGAATATGAAATCGCGAAAATTCACGAGCTTCTATACAAAAGCAAAGACCGGCTTTGCTGGCAAATCAAGAAACGACTAAAATTTCTTTAACATGGCGTATTTCGTAGCACTTACACGACAAACTTACGATTGCTAATGATGTTGATCGTGTGAAGATTTGTGGGTATGTGAACCCTATTTTCTCTTGATATGCAATGTATTATTGCAGGCATTTTTAGATACATATAAACCCAGCAACCGTCGATTCATTCTGAATAACACATCTTATCCTAAAACAGTAAGGTTATGGTCCTATTTTGTGAGAAAGCTCGCTCCACGATGTAAGGGGTTCCGTAACAGAAGACCTTTCTGAATTCGCTTAGTATCCTTTTTTGCCTCGATACCTTTTATCTTCTATGGTTTTTAGATTTGCTCTTATTATCTACTATCTACTATAAATTTTGCCCCTAGCATGGAATTCATTAACAAATTGCAGGTCCCTGATTGTAACTGTTGTGTACATATAACAGTTCAAAGGACTTTTGCAATCCCAATCTGACATACACTGGGTTTCGTAATACCTTTATATTATAATAGGCTTAGCCAGTCTCTTTCTCCATTTTCCTGGCACCCGCCATTATTAAATAGCCTCTCTAACTCTACATATGTACATACATCTACTTAATTAAATGACCAAATTTGACTTAAACATCTTCTGGATAAAACTCCAAGTAAAATAGTCACTTATATTGAAATCGTATCAGCCAATCCCATCATCGATATTGCTGTGGAACTGACCAGCTTGTGAGTACGACCCTAGACCAGCAGATCTTAAATAAGCCTCGTGCATCTTATGTGCTCTTTGTGTTCGAGCTGACTCTTTTCTAACTGGATTGACCAGGCCTGCAAGAGACCCTGCAAAAAAAGAAAAAAGGCCATTTAAATTTGACGCGATCCTAGTTTTCAATGCCCAAGACTTGTTGTTAACTATCTCATTTCAACTGTTAACGATACGAAAATTTTAAGCTAACAGCTTGCAGCCTAAAATAAACGCCAAAAATTAAAAGTAAATAAACCGAATTGCCTACTGTAAAAAAAATTGTTGAAAGCTATACATGAGTCCATTAACCAGTTTTGTCACAATTATGTTCGATCACCTTTACAAACCTAAAGGCACCGTTTTATTGCACTTTGTATGGGTCTGAAACACAATTTTCCCCTCTTCAGGGGTCTGAAACCTCTCTCCACAGAATTCGACCTCTTCAGGTAGGCTTATTGATCAATTTCAATTAAATGACCAGAAACTGATTGCAATTAAACTAAAGGAGCATGAGCAATCCTGTTTCTGTTGATAATCACAGTAGGCCCTGAATATGAGAACCCGAAATCAATAATTCTCACTGGCAAGGGTGCCTATTGAAGAACGAACACATCTGTCTACTCTATTCATACTTCTCACATCATATGACAAGTAAAGCTAGCCACCCTTCTATAATGAGTTTCGGAACCTGTGACTTGTTTTTTGCTGGATTAGTGAGAAATTACATATCAATCACACCGAACAACCTGTAAGAGAACAACCGAACAACGACTCGCCAGGCCGAACAGTTGCTTAATGATCGCATTAAGCGTTAAACTCGTAGTAGCAACTTAGAACCGTCCCGTCCTATACACCAAATAGCGTAGGCAAGACTGTCGTTGTTAACAGAACTAGCTGAATACTACTGACAATTTTTCCTTAGTACCTTGGGTTGTTGTGCTGCTTTTTTGGTACGAGGTCTGCAGCATTTGGTTAGAAGGGCTTCCATTGCTTCTGACATTTCCTTTTCTTTTCGTGTCACCAAAATCGAATTCGTCGTCATCATTACTGTCAGCCTGGCGTTTCAGGGAACTCTGTCTTGCATAGGAGAATCCAGATTTCTTTAACTGCCAACTGCTACTGCCTGACTCTGAGAAAAACAATTCGAACTCAATATTTACAAGAAGCGATAAATGGTTAACTTATTTTGTCAAATTTGCGCATCCCTGCTCGTTGCACTCAAAATGCGCGATCTTGAACTGCAATTTTAGAAGAGCGTGCCCCGCAGTAAGAATCAAAGCGCTTTGCCGCATAACAATTTTAATAGTAAATGCTCCACCTAGAGCAGATAGCAAAGAAGTCACACATTCATAAAGAATTTGCTGAAATGGGTTTGGGTTGCATTCAATTTGTTTTATGCACAGAAATACGATCCCTAATTAATCCTGTAAACAAGATTTAGATACAAAAGAATTGAGTTGTAAAGATAATAATCCAGCATGAAAATTAAGAGGTCTCAACTTAAATTTATGATGCTCAAGTGTCAGCTTTAACAAAAAAAGTGTTGGTTTTTTCAATTTAGTACCGATATTCTTACCATTTTTACTAGCTTGTTCTTCAGCTTTATTATGTTGTGATCCTGGTTTGAAAAATTAAACAAATGTCAAATTAGTATGCTAATTTATAGGCTTAAAAGTTAATGGATATAACATAGATCAATCTTAGTTTGATTATTACATAAATAATAAACAATGTCAAATACAGGTTTGCCAGTCTGCCATATAATGCTTGATGTCATAAGAGCAAAAGCAACTGCTCTCAAGCCTGTGCAAGGACCGCAGGGCATATTACAGATTGAAGGGGCTAAAACGTTTAGGGGCTAAACATGCTAAATACCAGGAGCAGGGCGATTTTTGGTATGATGTCAATCACATTTTGGAAATGATTGGGTGGCTAAAGCCCCTGAAGCCCCTGTTTCCATGGTCCCTAAACCTGTGAAAATTAAAGTTGCAACTTTGGACCCTCCTATTCTGCACAACAAAGCAGTACACCTGTGCCTATAAAGCATTGAGCTCATTATGCAGGCTAGTAAGACAGTTAAACAAAGAACCTCTAGGTTACTCATTGCATATTTTACTGTGATACTCGTAAATTATGTTCGGTTCAGTTCAGTTCATTTCATTTTTAAAAATCCATACGTAAAAATCTTTTAAGATACAGCAACAGGTTACAAAAGATGAAATAAATTAAATGTAATGAGAGAAATAGAGAACAATAAAAAATAGACGATTTTATAAAAACAAAGGAGATTTGCATGCAGGAATTTCTTAAAGGAAGAGCACCACCTGTGGTAAAAATATATTAATTTAGTATTTACACCACAGGCTGCCCAGGAGGGAGCCATAAGACCATCGAGAACAACTGCCACACAACCTTATGAGTTTCAATCCAGGGCTAAAAATTGTTCAATTGTATTGTATTTTGAAAGGTAATCTTACCAAGCTTGCAACTAGAACAGTAAAAGAATGAGTTAAATTTTATCTCTAGTAGGATGGCTGAGATTGCTCCTAATGATAAAAACTTTGTGTAAACAGGCCCTCCCACACTCAATAGCATCTTATCTAACTAGGCACATTCTTTTACTGTTTTGGCTCAAACATGAGACATCCAATTTAGCCCCATCAACATCAGGCTAAGCTTACAGTCGAAGTTGCAAAGCAAAATTTGGTGCAACCACAAACACAACCAATTCCAGCTATAAAAATATGTATTTCTTGGCTACATTAGCATTAAGACATATTGAAGCCTGAAAATAAGCAAGCACTTACCAGTGAAACCCCCAGCATGCCTGGAATAGTAGGAATTTCCAGTTTGTAGATTTACTTGGTTTCCTTGCTTCTTACTAGATGGCAGTGGTACATTCTTTCTGACACTCCAAACACTCTCAAGATCAAAATCTGTTGAAGTTTAGTAATGGTTAAACACTACAGTTTGGCCTGATTCAGCTTGTAAATATTTTAAACAGGTTAGCCAGAGCTCCAAAAAACAAATATACTCGTAGATCCAAATAATACAAAATTTTGGGATAGTTATTATGACTGATTTTGCAAATAGCAATTAAGACTAATAAAGCTTCTTTAAACATATAGCCCATACCATTTTACTAATATCGAAAGTGTACACAATTTTACAATTCTGACATGGTTTAGTAACTACTGTCGAGGAAACAAATTCTTGCAATGTAGGTTTGCATGTCAAAATTTGAGCCAGGTAGTCACTTCACATTTTTCTTTTAATGACCAAACATTCTTCACAATGTAACCTTCACATTCAAACTATGAAAGAACCTACAACACCAAACAAGCAGCAGACCCATTGTGACCAAATGAAACATGCCAAATATCACTCATATTGGGAACCTTAACCTAATAAAAATGTCAAGAAACCTACTCATAACAAGGCTACTGGAAAATATTGAAACGCAAAGAAAATTTTTAGGTCAAAAACTTTCAGCTTACTTGAATTGAAAGATAGCGAGTTCAGTTCAGATGCTTTAGAGCTCTTTGCATTCAAGCTACCATAATTGGCTTTCTCAATAATTTTTTTTGAATCATCTGTGAAATCTTTGTCAAAACTGCTCCATGGATCTGATTTCTGCTTCTTCTTTGCGTAGAAAAATTTGCTGCCAGCTTTTTTGTCGTTATCTAAAATTTGAATCGTACCTATATTCAATATTGTATTTTGTAAATTGGTCTTGAGATGCAAATCTTAAATATAAAAATGTCAAATATTAAAATGAGAAGGCTGTTTGAAAAAAGGAAAGACTGCATCATAACAAGTTTAGGTAAAATAATGCTGCTTGCAAACAACCTACCTGGATATTTCCAAAATTTTAATAGAGAATTCACCTTTTAAATTCATAAAAATTTATAAAAGTATATTAAAAAATATAATGATTCCATGTGATACATAAAATCCAAGTTAACATTTGTAACATAAAATTATGGACATTGTATACTTGAACCTGTTTAGACAACTTTACAAACCTTGGCTGCCATTCATTTTGAAGATATTTTGGAACCTTGACAGTTGGCAAGAACTTGTTAACATAAGAGTTTTTCTCAGCAACCATGCTGACATTTATGCATAATTAAAGAATTGAACAAACAGAACTGGTTTGTTTTTCAACTACGGGAACAATTGGCAATGTTTGATCATACAACTGTGATTAAATTATCCATATAATTTGATTCCTTAATTTAGAACTTAATGCATATTTTGACAAATATTTTGCATCTAAGTTTTGTGACCCAAAAGTAAATGATTGCACTACCATACAGCCTCTGGTATTTTTGTTTGTACTGATAATTCAAATAAGACCTGCTAAGTTTAAGACTCAATGGAGTTCTTGCCTTGTCTAATTTATTATAGTTTAGAAGAAAATTAAATCTTATTTCTCTGTCTCTTTGAAGTCTAACATTGGATGTGGCTATTGATTTCATGTGGGCTCTTCATATTTTTTACACAAAAGTTTCAGATTGCCACTGAACAACAGTGTGGAACCACTTCTGGCAGTCAAAAAGAGAGTGAGGTAGATAAAATTTAGATACCTGTCCTAAATTGATCAGGTATGCTGATGCTTTTAGTTTTCCAGAAGTTTCTATCTCCATACTTAGTTAATGCAACCAGCTTTTATGCTTATTTTTCTTGAATTTACATGAATGAACTTATCTGTCAGTCACAGTGTCATATCTCTCAAAATTTTGGTCATTTGATACCAAATATCTTTTTGAAAAGCTGATTGTAACCAAAATTGGCTTGAAAATATCATTTTCAAGAGTTTTGCTACACACATATGTGGTTAATTTATTTGAGGTACAGAATTTGAAAATGGCTTTGAAAAAACCTTTCTGATGTTTTATGCTCTGAGGAGTGTCAGACGAAAAAGCTTTTAGTGTGTTGTAAAATGTTTGCTTTTTTCAAAGCCATTTTCAAATATGTGGCTTTAGACAAAATGTATATATGTATCTCAAACACTCAGAATTTCATACTGCAAATTTTTGTTGCTAGCTGAGACTATTGTTGACTCATTATAGAATTTTTGACTGCCTTGAAAGATTGAATCAGAAAAATACATTTCTATTTCTTTCTCCTTCAAAATTGCAAATGAATTTGCATGTTTAGGTGACATATCAAAATAAAGGCCTATTTGTGTTGTTGTGACATAAGCAGTCTTTTCACTAATGAAGCTTCAAGCAAGAGAATCAAGGCATGTGCAGATGCTTTGTACCAGAGTTGATAATGAAATTGATAATGAAATGTATCAACAATAGTGGTCAAACTTGGTCAAAACATCCAAGAAAATAAACAAAATGATGTGATAAGGAGACATCAGGTTCAGATCTGATGGGCAACATACTTAAAACTCACTCAGGCAGGATTAAAGCAAGAAGAACTTTTTCAACCCTGACAAAAATTTTGAGTCCATTTTTTGGGTATAAATGCTATCAACTTTCATCACTATCGGACTTCGTTAACAAAATCAAGATTTCTTGCATATTTTCATTTCAATTGCCTTGTTTTGAAATATAACTATGACTTTTAGTAAATAACTTTGATATGTGTTGATACATCCAATCTATTCATTATTTTTCACTAAGTTGTTCGGATGGTACCCTAACTAAAGTTTTTTATAATGATACCTACTTCATAATACGGTTGTTAAATGCTGAGTTTTAGGTTTTCATTTTGTTTCATTTCGGGTTTTCCTGAACAGTTGAGCTAAATATTTAATTATATTTTTCTAAAACTAAATATGGTGAGAAGCGAAATTAGATGCGTATGGCCGCAAGTGTGTCTGAAAACCTTTGGAAAGTCGCGGAAAGCTGAAAACCGTGGGAGTAGAGTGTAAACGCAAAACCGTCGTGGGACATTTTCGAAATCCGGTTGCATAGGAATATCGCTTTCTTTATACGAAAAAGACCCATTTAATGAAATATCTAGAAGTATATAAAATATCACCCGCTCAGTTTCCAAATAATATAACACCAGTTATCATCGCGTCGGCATTCAACACCAAAAAACAACGGCGTCGATATTTATTGTCCTATATAAACATGTTAATGATCAAAACCTGCCAGATATTCTAAAGATGACATGATTAATTTATCACCTTGCATGCCACTTTCGTTATCTCTTTGTAACACCATTACTCTTTTCTTGTTTGCAAACGAAGATACTTTCGTTCAATGAACATCCTGATTCTCCTTTATCAAAACTAGGCCATTTACAAATAAATTTTCTTCGAAACGAGGTTTAGTAACGCGGCACAAACTCAAGTTTGCCTTCAGTTTTCGTCGTCATGGGAATAATTTCAATATAGAAGTTTGTATTTAACGGGTTAACACCTTTTCAACAATTGAATACAGTCCTGATAAACTATCAAAGAATCAGTTTTACAGGTTAGTAACACTGCAGCCGCCTGTCCGTTATACAGGTTAGTAACTCTCGCGTAATGCGGCGATACTGCCCCCTACCCTTATCTAGAGGAAACAAAGAGGCAGCGCTCTCTTCCTCCCTACCCTTTTGAATTTTTTTATCTGTTTATATATTAAAGTATTATAATAGTCATACTATTATAATGTTGTCTTTTCAAATATGTGTCAAAGAAATTTTAAATTGTACACACTGTAGTTTGACTTAATGAACTCATAGCCAAAATTAAAATCCTATTATTGTGTATTCTCCTAGCTTTAATAACACATTTTTTGCAACCCCCACCCCCCACTCTTCCTTCGTTCTTCAAAAGGGAATTGTTACACTCTTTTTTTATAAAAACCAGTATATCTTAATTTTTTATTTAAATTTATAGGGTGTAAGCGGCTCAATTGCTAGCTATTTCGCTCCAGGGAGGTGTTCAGGCCTCATTTGCCGACAAAGTGAGATAGTTTGAATCCTCACACATGGCTAAAAATCCTTGTTTTTTAGGATGAAACGTTGTTTTAAATTGCCATTTTACAGCAGCTAAGCCTCAGCTTGTTCTTAATGTATTTGTAACTTTTGAACAATTTTGAGGCTCGTGTTCTTATAAAATTTTTCTTATAGAAAGAAAATAGTGTAACTGAGATCTCCTTTAGAACAGGGCCTCAGATAAAGGAGGTGGGGGACATGACTCCCCACTTTTTTCAAAACAGTAGAACTTTTTACAAAATCTTTTGTTATGGGTGTTGAAATTTCCTTTGCCCCCCCCCCTCCTTCTTTTCAACCTATATCGGAATCCATGTAAATGGTGTTTGCATCAAGAGCCCCTGTCAAATCATCGCCAAAAACTTTATGGTGTTTTATGGTCATTGATAACGGTAGATATGGGAATTGAAATGCGAGCTACAGTCCTAACAGAGAACGGTAGGCTCTGGTGGGTTTGCGCCGAGGGGCAAATCACACGTAAGAAAATCTGTTATCTGAAAATCCCCAGAAATTATTTTGTTTTAGGCAAAATCTCGTACGCTATTTGCAAGAGTGAATCGCCCCTCGGCTTGAGCTACCTTACAAAAGTCGTCAATGCATAAATGAATGGGAATTTTCTGTGTCGGCTATTTTCCCTCGGCCTGTAGGACCTGTCGTCACGTGAGAACTGTTATCACGCCAAACCGGGCTGTGTCCTTTACCGGGCTGGTTCGCTATCTTTGTTTGCCCATTGTTTTCCTCATTCAGTACACTGTTATAAAAGAAATATACTACAGTTTTACAATTATTAGGAAGGCCTCAGCTTCCCCGCCCCCCGTGGTTATTATCTATCTGTCAATTTTGTATAGTATGGCATTAAATAAACATTTAGTGACTGGTCTCAAACGTTTCTTTGAAGATACTTCAATTCTTCCTTTCAAATGAGGCCCTGTTCACACGGGAACGCAATCGTTCCGTTCCATTTTTGTTCCAGTTTCTGGAACGGAAAAGTATACTGTTCACACGGTAACGGAACGATTGCGTATCGATTTTTGTTTATGTTCAGACGGGAACGCAATCGTCCCGTTCTGCAATTTGCGCGCCAAAATAAGCAAATTATTTTTAATGCGCATGTCCATAATGGAGATAGATTTCATCATTTCGATTTATCTCTGAGCTATCTCTGAATTTTTTAAACAATTTGAATAAATTGAGAATACAAAAGCGCCCCAATATAAGCGAGCTCATGGGAAAATGGAAGCCAACCCTGAAAGGAAGGAATTTCAATGTTTGCAGAATGGTGTTGAATCTTTTAAATGGACTGACGGCGGGATTCAGCCCAATAGTGTTTTTGAAATCCTCCATTTTCCTCGCTGAGTTTATTATTGTCACTTTTCCTTCCCTCAACAACAACACAGACGCATGCGCCAAAGGCAAAACTCTTATCATTCCATTTTCTGGACCAGTTCTGTGCGTTCACACGGGAACGGAACGGAACGATTGCGTACCGTTCCACTTTTCGTATCACTTATTTTATCGTTCCACTTTTTGGAACGGAACGATGTCGTTTGAAGCGTTCCCGTGTGAACACAACCCCTGAGCGTTACGCTTTTCGGAACGGATAAGAACGGAACGGAACGATTGCGTTCCCGTGTGAATGGGGCCTGAGACTTGCATTCTTGATGGGAATTTTTTAAAAACCCTTACATTAAAGTTTTACTTTCTTGTTTTATCATTAGAGATTTCAATGTTTTATTGAAGTCATTCTATGAAATTTAGAAAAGATTTACTTTTTAGAAAAGGTTAACTTTATTATTAGGTGTAAACAATTATTATCAACTATAAAAATAGCTAGAATTTTGCGTAAGTGCAGCAGCATCCTATCTCCCATTCGAAGAATTATTGAATATCAACAATCTCGAAGCTTAAAATTCATCCAATGTAACTCTTTCAGCTAGTTTAAATAGTCTTTTCAACCAACATTGCTTAGAGGGAGTGGGGATAAATCTGTATCTTACAGCCGGAAACTTTTATTTGATCAAAATCATTTATTGACCAAATAACTTCGTGATTATGATTTTGGTTTGAAACGTTTCAACAAAAGCGTTTCTATCTAGTTAAGAGCCCGGTAAATTGCTGTAACTAATTGTAACGTTCTTAATTGGGTCCAAATTGTTGCAGGTTGCAGGATAGTGATTTTACGCAAAATCAGATTTGAAGCAAAGACAGAATCAAAAAGACTTTTCTCAAACGTATATCGTGTAATCAGCAGTACAGTCGGGGCTTTCACAAGAGCTACGTGTACGATCTAAACCGAAGCTCCCACTAACTAACCCTAATAGCAGTGAGCGAAATATTTACACATACTTTATACAGGTATAACGCTTATAATCTTACATAAAAGAAAAATGATCGAGAACAACAATAAGAGGACGTTTGGATGCATATGTATGAGCTGAGTCAATGTCGAGGAAGGTGAAGCTCGAAAAGCGGATGAATGGGGTGAAGGGAATATGCAAAAGAGGTAGATTAAAGCGAGGCTGCTTATAGCGGCAAGTTTTTCATCAAGGGGGCTGTAACCTGGCACCTATGTATGGATGTAGGGATCCTCATCGCCCACCTAAAGGAGCTTTGGATTTCAAAGTCATAAATTATATCGTATGAAATTACTTAAAGTTGGTCTCTAACAATGATTGATAATCTAGTTTTTCTACACCAACAAATAACAGTAAAATGAATTGAACAACAGCCTGTGGCAAGCCACTCAGCTACTGATAATTCCAAATTTCTATGTACAACGAATGTATTAGATGAGACAACAGAATGTGTTAGATTAGATCAGAACGGAAACCAATTTACAGCAGTTTGATGGAGGATGAGCCTGTACTAATGTGGCCATTTCTCAACCAGTTTATGAAAAATTTGACTGATTTGAAGAATACATGCTCTTCTGTACCAAATGCATTTTAGTAAGAAAGTAAAGTTGAATTTTTATCTGACATGGGGTTCTTGGCTAAGTTTTGTGTTGGGGTTTGCCGCGACAATATTGAAAGTGGTACCGTTGATTAGACTAATTTTACAAAAAATTGCACCCTAGATTAGACTAATTTCTATAAAATATGATACCCTGGTTAGACTAATGTTAAAAATACGATAGCGTTGACTTCAAAATTATTCGAGTTGGCAGGTATCTCTAAATTGTTGGCTTGAACTCAAAGGTCGGTTTGTTTCATTTCCTAGTTTATAATCAAGCTAAATGGGTTGCCATGATGAAATTCCTACTTTCAAATGACGTTCTATAGACCAAGGTTGTCAAAGATGATACCCTTGGTTGAACCCAAATTCCAAAAAAATGTACCCTTGGCTAGGTATAAACCCGAAAAAAGCATACCCTTGTTCGAGGCACATCCCCCCAGGTACCTTTACTATGGAAGTATCCCCCACCCCCGTGGTTGATATTTGTCTTTTTATCAACTCTACTACTTGTTTTTTATTTCAAGCGACAGCAGAGACGGATTTAAGCGGAAAGGATTTGGGGGGAGGGTGTTGGATAATGATTGGACTTTGGTGTCGCACCCCCAACATCCTGTGGTGAATCCGTCCGTGCCGCGTTCCCAGTTAAATAGATGACGATTGCAGTTGAATATCATCGAGAGTATTAGCTGCCCCATTTTGCAGGGTAAAAATCCCAATATTTACCACAGGCGTTGCTTGGAGTTTCACTTTGTAAAAGGCAAACCAAAAATAAAACAATGGATCGCATAGCAGATTTAATGCGAACATAATAGCTGCTATGTTAGTCATCCATCCAGAAAAACTGGAACAAGTGATTTTTGCATCTGTTAAAGTAATTGAGATTACTATCGCCGGCAGGGATAGGATGCAATATGTGACTGAAATGGCAATGCAGGTGATGACGAGACGTTTTTCATGTTGACGTTGTTGTGAAGGTATCGGGTTGGCGAACTGACTGGCACCTGGTTCATTTCTAATGTCAGGCCTTCTACCAATTGCATTCTTTATTTTGACGATTCTGTAATATGCAACCAAAAGATAGATGGACGTAGCGCCGAATGCCAATCCGATGTAAATTGTCAGGCTTACACTGGGTAATATCCAAAAATTGACGATTACTAGGAGTACGCCTAGAACGCTGGGGGCAACCCATAACATGCAGAACACTTTCAGCCAGGTGATTTTTTCGGTTAAAATTTTGAATTTGAAAGGGTATTTTGTGGCATAATGCCTTTCCCAGGTTATGCCAATGACGTGGCCTTGCTGGATAAAAATTAGGATGATTACAGGCACTTGCGAGAAATTGGAACCACCTTCATTCGCATGGGGTGTGCGCAGGAAGCTTGCAAGAACAACTCCAACCAGCAGTGTGCTTGTCAGAAGATCAATGATGCCAAGGCTTGGAATGAGCTTTGATCGTACAACACTCTTTCCTTTCTTTGAAAAAGCTAAGATAGTTTCAGCAAGGTTTGCTACAGCTGCAATTGAGCTGATTATGAGGAAACCAATGTAGCAACTCCAATCTTTAAAGTCCATTATTGATGACCTGTGCTTCAGAACTTTTGCAAGAGCAACTCGTAGTCGTCTCCTATGAGGAATGAATTCATTTAGATACGTTTCATATTTGTTTGCTCAAGGAAAATTCCGAAATTTTAGGTTTCACATATGATCATGAAGATTTCAGTTCTTAGGACACCTAAAAGAGAGCAGTAAAAATATCTCATTGCTGCTCCCTTGTAGGTGTCCTAAGAACTGTACACTGTCATTAAAAGACTTTGTAATAATGTATATAATGGCCCATGGATGCCATTAGATCTCAATTTTAACAAAAGACCGTCGTGCCAGACTCTATCGAATGCTTTTTATGTATCCAAAAAGAGAGCCCTTGTTTCTATGCGATCTTCCAAGCCGCATGGTAATGTCATAAGTTGTTGTTATTATTGGTTGATAGTGGAATCACCTACACCCCTGGCAAAAAATGCTGAGACACTCGCAGAAAATTGAGCTAGTTTCAAATCATCCAGCCCCCGTCCCCCCAATTCAATGTTGTGATGAGAGTAATTCTGCTCGCGGTCATGCCCAGTTATACCGCAATCATAAAACCCAACATTGACATCGGGGGGAAGGGGGTGTGGGCTACCAGAGCATGTTATATAATAAAAAGACATGTGACTTCACTTTTTGAAAAAAAGTCTCAGCTATTTTTTGCCAAGATTGTAGGTGGAACCCACTATGAGATGGATCCCACCCCATGCATTCTTTAATTCTTTATCACGATCAAACAAAATTTTTTCAACCACCTTTCCCCAAATTGACAGGAGCGATATAGGCATTTAGTTGGATTTAACTTGACGATTACCTTTCTTATGAATAGGAACAACGTAACTGTTTTGAAAGTGCACAATCTCAACATACGTATGGATATGTCATCGGAGCCATGTGCTTTTCCAGTATTCAATTGATTAAACAAGTCAGTGATTTTATGCTCAAAGATGTGCACAGTCTCTAACGGATATTTTATTTTCCGTTGGTAAGTTGGCTGAGAGTCTACTATCTGTTTGAACAAGCAAGAGCTGCTTGATAAGTAATCCCTACATAGCTTTGCTTTTGCTTAAAATTGGAACAAAGTATGTCTTTATCTAGTAATTAGGGAATACAAGGAGCTTTTTTCCTGTTTAGTATCTTAATAACAATTTTCTAGCAAGCTTTTATTAGATTCTCAGGATCACAAAGCTTTCTACCTAGATTCTTGTAATATGTCTCTTTCGCTTGTGCTGTCTTTTTTGTCGCTACCCGACGGGCTTCTTTTTTTCCTACTAAATCCTCTGAATTTCTACCCCTTTTGATGAAATTGCGACAGAGGCGTCCTTTAGACGAATGGCCAATGGCTTAGTCGTAAATTTTGAGCAAGTATGACGCAAAAGTATAAAAAAACCAGCGTTTCATTCGTGTTTTTCAGAAAATTATCACATTTTGTGCTTTTTACGACATCTCCTGCATGGAACATTTTACTGTTAGCGTTATACTTATGCATCTCATCCTAGTGATATATGCAATGATCTATCACTTTTCTTATTTGTTTCGTTTTCGGATATTAGTATATATGAGTATATCTAAATATTTACTTCTATTATGACCTTTCATTCTATTTTGACCATTGAACAATGTCCTTCCTACGTTACTGCGTACAATCACGAACAAAAGGATCATCGAACTACACAGGCCCAATTTACATAAGAAGATGTCTGAAATGCATTTGCGATATGTTCATGTGACTTAAATGTTTAATCACTTTCATATTTATTCGAACCCGTGGTTGATGAAATAATCATTGGAAGCATAACCAATTTATTGCTACCTTGTCTAATCAAGTAATCGACTATTTGTACTTATATCTAGTATGATACTGATTAAGAATGCTGCTGTTTGCTTGGATAGGTAGTATAACGCTGCAGCTCAGACATCTTAGGAATCGTAGCACGTTATGCCGCCTAACCCTCCACTGCGAATGGCCCTTTTAACTTCCCCGTTGGTAAATCCTGGCGTTTCCCTGGGGTTGCTAACAACTTCTGAATTGGGAACATATTTTGTCATAGCTCCAAGAAACATTTTAGTAAAGTAGTCAGTAGCACTGTTCATATCACGCCCCATCAACTCACGTTCCCAGTTTGTTTGATTAAGTTCATCCCTCAAAGAGTTTACATCTGCTATATCATATTACTATTTGCGACGCCTGAAAGGGATTATTATTATTATCATTATCGATTTATTTAAAGTTGGTTTTATAATTCAAATAGCTAAAATAACATGTAATTAAGGCCAACTAGAGCTAAAAGAAAATACATTATAATTTACAAAGAAAAACAATACCCAGAAATGACAAAATTAATTAATCTAAAAACCCTAAATCTTTGATAAAAACTTTACACAATCTGCAGATGCATGAATCGCAATTCCACTGTTTTATTTTTCTTTAAACTTTTGAATTATGCTACAGTCTTTCAAAAAACTTGGAAGTGAAGACCATAAAAGGCAGCCTCTTTACTGAATATTTTCTGTACCATATATTGTCGTCCTTACTTTCGCAGACTATAATAGCCATCTCTTTCTGCAAAGATATCTTTCATAAAAGTTGGGTTGAGATCGTTCTTTGTTTTGAAAATCTCTATCATAAGCAACTGCAGATTGCGTTTGTGCGTGGTGACGGAACTATTTAAATTATTTACAAAATTATCTCCACCATCTTTGCATATAATTTGCAATGCTCTTTCACGAATATTTTTACCTTAGAATTGATCGTCCTGTCATGGAACATCCAAATGCATCCATCAGCAATTTTAATTTGACAGGGTCCGTATAATTAGAGAGGCGGGCAAGTGGGTGCAATTTTTGATTTGCCTTTGCATAAATTTTCGACATGTTTTGTGAAACTTAATTTTTTATCAAAAGTAATTTGCAAGCTTTTTATCAAAAGTAAAAAGGATGGAGATGGAATTTGCAAGTTAACGATCCGTAGACTACCTCGTGATGACATTTTTCATGAAATGATGAGTGTACGCCTGATTCCAAAAAGAGGTTGGGTTAATTTGTGAATATTGAATCATTAAACTCTTCGCTCTTTGACAATAATGCATTGGCTGGTCGATTCATTGCGTAAGCTTTAAGCCTTCGTTTAAGTCACTTCCAAATGTATAGTGCCTTCTACATTTTTATTGTCATCTGGCCACCATTCACAACATTTACAGTTAAAAACACCAGTGGTTATCACCATTGGGCCTAAGGTCTTTCAATTTTGTTACAAAGGATCCAACCCTATCTAATGCCCTGTTAACACTACAGCTTTAAACCTGGGTTGAACTTTGGTTAACGTTAACCTGGTTAAGAAATTGGGTAGTGTAAACCTAGGTTTTGTACTCTGTAGGTGGGTTAAACCTAGGTTGACCCCAGGCTAAGATCTTCGAAGTGCAAGAGGTTGGTTGAACCTGAGTTAACGATAACCTGGGTTAGAAATTTTGTAGTGTAAACGCAGCTAACCTAGGCTGAACCTAGGTTAAGCCAATCCTACTCTGGAGGTGGGTTAAACCTAGGTTGACGATCTGATACACGCAAAAAAATCACTAGCTTCAAGCCTGCACAACTTCAATAATTAAGCACAAAGGAAAAACAGCTATAAATGGAATAGCAATTGAAACTTAAAAGTAAACTAAGGAAATAGCAAAACGATTGCAAGGGAGAGTGTCGATAGGAAATTGGGGTTGGTAAGAAGCAGTTGAAGCACCCTATCCCTGCACGCCATTCACATAAACCTACGGGTATCTAAATACCGATGGGTTGGTTCAGGGACGTCACTTCACTAATTTTTTGGGGGGGTGTAAACACTATTGCCCTGCAAATTTTTTCCTGTAAAACAAGTATAGAAGTACTGTACTTGTGTAAGTACTGTGCATATATTACATAAGTACATATAATATTTTCAAAAAGCAACACAAACTAACAATCGCAATAAAAAAGTCAATAATTATTCTACTATCACACTAATCTTCTTAATTGAAATTCTTCTCATTTTTTTTTCATGCCATACTTTTAATACTTTATCAAGTGGGATAGTGTCTGTTAGGTCTTTCTCACAAGCAAGTAGAATGAGATCATTCAATCGTTCATCTTTCATCCTTGATCGCAGCAAATTTTTAACAATCTTAAGTTTGCTAAAGGTTCGCTCGTCTTTAGCCACAGACACAGGTGCTGTAAGAAGAAGGCTGTAGCATTTGTAAACCGTTGGGAAAAGTCGTCTGTTTCCATATGAAAATTTGGCAGCCTCTTTGACGGAAGTTGGCTGGAAGTTGGCTGGACGGATGTTGCTGTTTAATCATTGACTATGAAAGCCTGGTGGGAAAAGCTTTCAAAGATCGTTGACTGTTTCTGGGTTTATCGTTTTGAGTGGTGGCTGCAACGCCATTGCCAATGGCCCATTTTTTTTAAGCATGCCTTGATATTTTCACCATACTCTGCTATCAGAGAATCGAGAACAACACACATTTCTGTTCTGTAGAAGGAATTAAATTTAAATTCCGCTGATGTTTCTGGACCGTTGTCAATCGTTCTTGGCTGCAACCTTAGTCGATGTTTTCTACTAAACTCAGCCGCTGAATCTATTCCATGCTGTTTAGCGCACTCGTTTTTAGCATCCAACTCTGCATCCATAGCCTTGTTATCAATCCGAATCTTCTTAAGATTTTCTAATGTTGCTTCAATTAACTTCCTCGCATCTAGGATGTTAAGCTCTTCTGCTTGGAGTTGCATCGTCAAAATCTTTGTTTTCTTCATAATTAATCTCATGAACATCAATACAAAAAGAAAGTCAAATGACTGACACTTTTTCTTTATGCCTTTACCCTTCACTTTTACTTTCATTTCTGTGCTGTCGTCACTGACAACTTTGTCTATTGCTTTGGGTATGCTTTGTAAACTTCGCCACACTGCTTCTATCGACTCTGAAGAGTAGACCCATCTCGTTTTAGACATGTTGCGGAGTTTCAAGGAGTACTCATCAACTTCTTGAACTTCTTTATTGTAAATTTTGTTTTGTTTGGAGCTGGCATTGAAGAAAAAATATATATCTTGAAGATTATCGTACATCGACGTAATTATGGCACTTTGTTTTGCAAAATGCTCGTTGAAAGTATTAGATCGATGCCTTTGACATGGAATGTACGGGACTGGTCTTTCAAGAATATATTGTAGAACCCTTTGTGCCCCTGCAATTCTCCCAGACATATTATTTGCAAGACAGTATGTTTGGAAGCAGAGATAATTCACATTAATTTCATTTGCTTCCAGACACTTGAGAATACATTCTGCTGTCTTATCTCCATGTTTGTCATTGCACTCTTTCATTTCCACGACTCTCTCGCGCGCAATTCCTTTTTCACCAATATATCTTGCAGCCACAACCATTTGATCCTTATTGCTAACATCGGGTGTTGTATCGGCCGAAACCGACAACATTTTAGCACACTTAATCTCATATTTTATTCTTTCTCTAGCATTCTCCCCCAAGATCTCTAAAAGTTCATTTTGTGAACTAGAATCATGTATTTCGTACTGAAAGGCTTCAATCGTTTGCTATCAAGCCATTCTTTCATCTGTAGACAGTGCCTGGACAGAAGATTCACAAACTGGACAAAATTGCCGTTCTGGTCTCCTGCGGTGCCTCTGAAAGCAATTCATTGCCTTGCCAATGTTCTAGCAATATCAAACAAAATCTTCATTATCGATTTGCATTTTTCTTCGTCAGCCTTCTCCTGAATGATGATGTCTTTCAGATGCCTATTCATTCGAATGTCAATATGTCCTTGTTCGACTGAAAACCTAGCAAAATCAGCCAATGCTGTTTGGTGTGCTTCAGAAGAAAAATGCTGAGCAAGCTTGCCACTTTTCATTTTATGCCATGATGCGATACCGTTTATCCAAGCAGTGTCACTTTTTCTTTGCGAGGGGCACGGAAACAAGAAACTCACTTTACAATACCACAACAAATCGGAAAAACTAACATATGTTTTGGATTTGATAAGAAAGTAAAATGAATTAAGATATTTTGTGAAACTTGATTTCTGATCTCTTTTGCCCTGCCAGAACTACTAATTCCTTCTGCTTTGCCCTGCGAAATGCTGTTTTTCAGGATTGGGGGGGTGAAACACCCCCCCAAACCTCCCCAATAGTTACGTCCCTGGGTTGGTTACCGGCCTGAAGAAGTTGGAACATTGTGATGTTACTTTTTGCCATTTTTACGAAAGCCCTGAATTTAGTCGATAAAGATTAATGATAAAACCAAACCGTCCTGACATCGTTAAATGTGAATGGGTCACCATGATACAACAAGTAGATCACTCTATCATTGCTCATCAAAATTTAGCCATGATTTGATCAAATTCATGCTTATTTTAGAAAGTATTACTGTAATATACTTTTGTCACGGCCCCCTGAAAAACAGCCACTCTAGGATGATTGGGCAATCGTGTTTAAATAATTTAAAATGAAATGAAATTGTTGAAAAAAAGGGTTTTCTTGTTACTGTCTTTGACGACAAGGCGACAATTGACATCGGCATAAACAAAGTATTTATCTAACCCTTATTTCTTTGTAAAATCAGAGCACCTATTCAGAATTCCAAGCGCTTCCTGGTTAGATCCAGTCGAATGTTGATATTTACATCTTTCCCTTTCTCCCTACCCTGAGTGCAGAATTTTTTCCCTGGCTCGATGCCCTTGCATGCGTGACAACCAACTTGTAAATCTATCAATAACTGCTTGTTTGTTTTGGCCATGTACTTGGCCGATTCGATGTGCCATGTCATAGGCTGCATCTGGAAAGGCAACACCCAACTTTCCAAATTCATCTTTTACCTTCTGCACAACGTCACTAAATTTTTCATTGTTGGTCATTGGAATTTCCAAGGAATCGAAGCCAGAGCCTCCAGTCTGTATGTGATGCCAATTACCTCCCCAACACAGCGACTTCTACCGCCAAGGAAAGTTCACTTTTCCGTTTAATCTTCTGTTAAGAAATGTGTACTTGTATTGCGGCGCGGCTTCAAAAACGGCTCCAAAGACAACTGCGCGGCTTCAATCAAAGTTGCAAAGTTACATTTAACATCCCTTACAAAAACGATTTGTAATCCCTTCATAACCATTACGAATCAAGTTGCCGTGAAAATTGCCCCATGATTGCAGTACACAGGATAACTGAGCTTGAATTTCCGCTAAGCGCAACATTGCCGTAACATTATCGCTAAGTGCAACATTTTCGCTAAGGGTAACATTGCCGCAACCTGCTTTGCTCTACCATCTGCCGATAACTTTACCGCAATGTACGTATGACCTTCTTTCAAATGTGAAGAGTGTAGAGGGGCGGGGGGTAATTTTCAGCTTGTCCCGCCCTTGCATGTCCCGTTGTATTTTTTATGAAGTGGCGTGTCAGGTTAGACAAAGGGCGAAAAGCTAATCACCTGTACGCTTTGATCAAACCCCTTTTGCTAAGTCCAATGAGATGAATCTATTACCAAATTGCGATCTATAGCTTGAGAAACTAACATGGTATTCAGTTTTTTGACATCAGTACGATGTAATAAAACGACTGAAAAAGCTTAAATGGAGATAAGTCTTGAAAAATTTGATTTACTGCAGTTTTTATGCATAGATCAATTGCAGTCCACATTATCTGCAACGAGTCATTTGGGTGCTAGTTCTATAAATGATAACGCATTTATTCAATTTTTGTTTCCACCAGTTAGGCAGTAAAAGGGCAAAAGCAGACTTTAGTAGGAACCTATTCAAACAAGGTTGGAAGACATTATAACGCGCTCGACCTTATAACAAACTAATGACCTGATCGATATACGCACAAAGTTTGAAATGTATTGTATCAAATCAAATCAATGGAGTAAAAATTGTCCAAGTAAACCGTGTGTAAATTGAAAGACCTTTCTTATTTTAGACGAATGAAATTTATGAAGTGCTGCAAAATAGAAAATTTATCAAAAACATTTATCACACACAAAAAATAAAATCGAATTACTTACAAGTTTGCAAAAGTTCTAATAGCACTAAATATTTTTTCAAATTCTAAAAGCTAATCAACTCACTGTGTTGTGTTGTTTTACCTTTGCAGTGGTGTTTCAACCGACTGGCATCTCAAATCTGTCGTTTGCTTATGTCGCACAAGCGTTTCCCATCTTTGCACCTGCTTATGATGGAAGTAAAGCTCAAGCCTTCGAGAAAATAAGGGCCAGCTGAAAAACAGTTTGATCGACAAGCAAAGGCTTGATTTATGAAACCTGCGCTGCTCTGCAGCTGGTGCAAATTGAAGAGTAATTACACATTTCCATCAATATATATTTTTTAAAAGTTACTTATTCCTGTTATAGTGTTTTTGATAATTTTATCGACTGGCTGTCCTTAACCAATGGAAAAAGAGCAAAATACACTCATTCAAAGACCAATGTTTTCATGTGATACTTAGGACTGAGACCCAGTTACTTTTGTGCACCAAAGTGCCGCATCTGTTACCGTAGTTGATCTATTTAACGTTAATTTAACTTTATAGTTTTTAGGTTGGGTGTTAATTAGGAAGAGGCGTTAAAAAGGAAGAGGGCATCAATACAAATTCCTGAACGAAAATTTGTGTACCTAATCCTCTGAATTTCTTCCAAGAATCTCAGTAAAAATTAAACAACAGAGAAAATAGAACAATCTCAAAACAGCCAAAAAAGAATTCATCAAACATTATTATAAAAAAAACAAATGAATAACAAATAAGTCTCACAATGGTAGTTCTAATCAATACAGAGTTCTTCATCACTTTAACGGTCAGAAACGATCAAATTTTGCGGATCATTGGCATCTTTCACGTCAGAGTCCGTGATGTTCGCGTACAGGGGCGTTAAGTAGAGAGGGGGCATCAAAAAGAAGTGGGCGTCAATTAACCTTTTTTTGCTTTTAGGGTGGGTGTTAATAAGGAAGGGGCGTTAAAAATGAAGAGGGTGTTGAATAGATCAAATACTGTAATTGATTTTTGGAACATTTTACAATCCTCGCATTTATTCAAAGCCCTCACTTTATAAGATCAGGATTTCCACGGCTTTGCGGCTTTTGACGTTAACAACAGTGCCTCTAAGAAGCTCTTTGGTTCCAAAAGATAAACCCCAAAGTAATGCTCACCTTTTATGAATTTGCAGAAGTTTGACTCCATTTCTAATTAGCATCTTACATATGAATTAGTTTTAGTCTTATTGGCCATCCCTTTTGTGCAAAATATTGCTACTTTTGAATAAAGGATTTGCTATCTTCCTTTCAATTCCTTCACGGTTTGCTCTCTTTTGGCAAATACCTATTTTTTTAGAAATATTTTACTTATTTTCAGGGGCTTGGTGGGAATTTTCGCTTACCAAGACATGGTTTTTTAGGTACTCTGAAATATCTTCAGTTGGCACCAAACTTCTTAGACTGACAAAACAAAGAGAAATTGCTAGTGTAGAAAAATCAGATGCCTCCGAAAATCAAGTAGCATGAGAATAATATGAGAATAATCGGTCATTTGTTATCGCCATCTGATCATTATTAACTTCAGCCTGGAAGGGAGTAACCCACATTCAACATGGAAGGGAGTGATCCACGTGTTATTACGATAGAAGGCGTCTCCTCCGCAGTTTAGCTATGCCCTCGCGAAGTACGAATGCCTTACGGAGTTGACGAAAAATAGACTTTACGACACTTGGAATGAACAAAGTGTGCGTTGCCTGCATCGTTTGTTTCTGTTTGCACTTTGCATCACCACGTGGCCCTTCTTTATTGGTTGGCCCGGATTTATTCTTTTTGGTTGTCTATATATAACCTTTGTCTTTTCACTGATATGTTTCTCGTGTAGCCTTGTATATGGTCTTAAACGTGTTATCCATTATGATGCTTTTTGGACCTTTTTGCATCAGAAAATTGCTCTGAACTTGTGAAACCTTAAGCATGGTATGTCTAAAGCAATCCATGTATCTATGATCTACTCATTGACATGTTTGGCAAATAGCGTAGCATTTTGTCTCATCCTAATTTAATAACATAATTTCACACAAGCACAAACATAATTTCATCAAACCTGTGAGAATTTGATGTCATCATTAGAGTTGCTGGCTGATTGAACCAACTTCATGACTGCAATAAATCAAAACTTTTGAATGGCAGTTGCTCCAAAAATGGAGTTGTAATTTCTAATAAGAAATTATCAATGTTAGTTCATCATCCCAAACAGGTATTTGTTGCAAATATCTGATCACGATTTTCAGAAATGACTTCTGCATATACACAGCTGTGCGTCCAACATTTTGCTAAGGATCTTTCCTAATGGTATTCTTTTGACCACAATCGCGTAGCTCCCGGTGTGCCAAGTACTTTTAGAGGCTTGCTTTTCTTCTTGAAAAATTTCTAGCCATTCAAACGTTGATACGGGGCTTTAAAAAATCTAGAAGCAATTTGCAGAGTACAGAGTAGCTTATTGCTTGTTGAAGTGGACATAGCAACAATTGCTAACTTGATGACAGCTTATAACTGAAAGTTAGTCTGACAATCCTTTTTCAATTCCAGTTATGTTTGCTACTGTATCGAACAAATTTTTTTGCACGTTGTTCTTTTAGTAGCTCAAGTATCTCAAAGGCTTTTTTAGCAACTAAGGTAAAGCATATCCTAAAGTAGATTCACCTTGAACCATAGTCAAAAGGCATTTGTTGCTCTTCTTGTTCGCCAAACATAGCACCAAGAGTCATTCCTCATATGCATGTACATTTCGAGTTGACTCAAGCTCAATCAAAAACAAACCGACTTCTTTCACATCTTTGATTACTAAACTTTGAATCAGGTTCGAATTATTTTGGTAATTGTTGCTACTGTATTGTTAGTTGCTACTTTGAATTCTTTTATTCTTTTGTATTTGGCTCTGCTGAAATCTTGTCTAGCTGCTAATCCAAACAGAACCATACTGGGCAACTAACCTGACTAACTCAGAATAATTCCCTCAATTAATTTCTTTCAGTCAACAAAGATGCTTTTCATTTATGCTTCCATACCACACCGTGATTTTCTTGCCAATGGTTTCAGTTACATCTATTTTTCTTTCCAAACAGTTTCTCCTTTGTTCCTTGCAGGGATCCTATTTGTGTAAAATGCTGTGACAACTAGATGATCTTTTCTGGCTTATTCATTGGTAAAAATGTATCGAATGACTTCAATCCCTTCAAAAATATACTTGGAGAACTGCTATAAGTAAGAAAATGAGGCTTCTTTTAGACATCGACTGTCAGCCATTCCACCATTTTTGTTGTGTGCTGTACTGCGTATTTCGAATTCGAGAGGCAAGTACTTGTAACAATGATAAAAAAGCTCGAGAAGTGCATCATGATATGAGGTAAATGGTTTTAAAAACATACGAGTTGCTGTTATTGAAGCAATTTCATTATAGTCATTTGAAACATTAATGGCCTAAGTATCCTATAATCAATTATTGGACAGGCTTTAATCTATTCATTTTCAATCATGTGACAGGCTTGATATGAGTTAAACTGACGCAATGGTTTTTAGCATTTTGTAAGGATAACGAAATGAAGATAAATAAAACTGCAATCTCAATAAGGTTTTTTCCTAATTTTACAGCAAGAAATCAATTTCTATGAGCTTATATTTTCCCGTTAATCTAGGACTAAAGTTAATCCCCACAGAAAAAAGACTCGCTTTTAAAGAGTCAAACTGTTCTTTGTTCTTATTTGCAAGGTGAATATGGTCATTTCAGTGTCAAGTGTTCTAATTAAAACAGGTATATTTCTTACATTCTTTGGGAGAAAAGAGCTAGAATATCTTCTAAATGTATACTAAAATGAATCCAATTCAATTTTTCTCTGAGATCATAATGGAAATACACGATACAGTTAGCCTCACATACCCAGTGCATAGATTACAATTACAATTGATAACTGGTCATGTTTATCAAGACTGGTCATTATTAAACCGGTTTTATACCATGTCCTTAAAAAAATAGAACACGTCATAGGTTTTAGAATTTTTATGTTCTTCTTTTCAGGGATTAGCTTTTTAAGAACGAAGACACTTCTTTTAGAAAGTATACGCATTCTATCAACTCTTTAATGTTATCAGTATCGTATACAGTTTTTCAGCATTGCATAACACATACCAATTCTCTTTATGCATCATATATGCCCAGGCTTGCAATACCTCCACAATGTTCCCTAAGTGTAATTCATTCACAACAAAAATTGGTTCCATATAAACTGCAGTAAGATATATTTCAAAAAGACGTAGTCTGTTCTTTATTGTCGCATGAAAATGCTAGTGTGTCGTATGATGTAGTAGCCTGCTCTGTAGACTTTTCTTGAGGTGCGGAGGAACAGTAAAGCTCTCAATGTATGGCAAAACATTTGTTCAGAGTATCCATTGAATGTTTTTGAAGAGCCGAGTTCCAGCATCTGCGTTATTGCTGCACAATCGTGAATAACTGTTGTAGCATCAATAAGCTCTATGTGCACATTCTCATTTTCATCACTATCAACAAGGAGACATGAAGATCCTTTTTCTTTCTTTACCTTCGCGAGCCCGCTTTTAGTTTGGAAGGAAGGCTAGTTTTTAAACTTAAAGAAGTTAACACAATGTTTTTCACCAGGAGATATTTCTCTATAGACCTGAGCTGCTCTCTCTTTGCTTTTATGGATTTATTTTGGTTGATTTTCCCTTGTGATTGGTTCATCAATTGGCAAACTGTTGTTGACTTGACGCTATCCTATTGCTGTTGTTTATAAAGACTTGCAACAAATTCTTGTTCTGTGATCATTTTTTGTCTCCAGTCCAAAGAGGTCTTTATTCATTTCTTCCATTCACTTTCTTAATTGTATAAAAAAGATTTCAATATCACTTTGCCATCTCGAGCAGGGGCCGTGGAAAAGAAGGGGGGCTTCGGGGGCTTTACCCCCCCCCCCCTCAATAATTTCCAAAATGTACCTAAAATCATACCAAAAATCACCCTGCTTTTGGCTCTTAGCATGTTTAGCCCGCCAAAACGTTTTAACCCCCTCAATCTGTAATATGGTCCGCGGTCCTTGATCTTGAGTCCTGCCCTGTCACTCGATGTGCCCCCAACTGCTCTACCATCTCCCTTTTTTATCTTACTCGTGAGCAATATCGGAGTGGAATAGAGGTTGGCACGAGTCACGTGATCGCATGTCAACTGTAACTATGCCGCCATCTTGCAGTCCAGTCAAACGTAAACAACGTGTTTTACGGAGCATGAGCGTGCAGAAAACCTTTGCTGTTTCTTCTCACAGTAAATTTCCCTGCCTTGAAGGTCTCTTGAACTCGTAAAGTTTGAAGTGTGGCTCTGCCAATGCTGCTAATTGAAAACTCATAGCCAAAAATACATACCTTATTTTCTACGGGCCCCTTAAGGCCCCGGGCCCCCTGGTAACTACCCTGGTTACCCCCCCCTCTCGACGGTCCTGGCTCTTTGTGATGCTTTTTCTGCCAGTTCTATAACTGACACCGAACCTGAACCTTGATAATAGCCTGCTACAAACACCAGGCATCACAAAAATTGGTCTTATCCATCATTTGTCTACTTCTCTTGGGTTTGCTTTGCTAGAGCGACCCATCACAACAGTACGAGTACCCTCTTGAAACAAATGTATCAGCGCAGTCATCGCTGTTTCTTATAAGACCTGTGATTGCTTGGCGGCATGAAGCCTGTCCATAAAACCCTATGGTTTAAATTTGATGAGAAAATGTTAGGGGAGGGGTAATATTTTGACAGCGTACTTTTTGTGATCTAATCCTATGATTTTCAAACTGCCTTTTTTGTAACCAAAAGTTAGTCATTGGCGGATCTGTTGTAGCGTCCGTTAAGTGAGGCAGTAGCAAAACAGAGGCTCGTGGAGTTGGCGTTCCCTTCGGATAAAATTGGCGTTCCTTGTTTGTAAGAGGGCGTTGTTTTGTTTTGTCCCCAAAAAGTTTCCAAAGCTTAGTGGCTAGATATTTGCCACCTTGCGTATCGCTTTACTTTTTCACTTCACCAAGAAACTCTTTCTTGACGTCGACAAATTGTGGGCAGAACTGCTGTGTAGAAAATGCCTGCTGAAAACAATTTTAATTTTTTTGCTGAGCCTCAGTATTCTACAAAAACCAATTCTAAGTCTAGAATTATTCCTAATCCATTTCTAAGCGGCTTACCGCTCAGCTTTGGAAAGAATTGAGAAAGAAAGTTCCAATTTTTGCTGTTTTTTTTCTTCACGATTAAAACATAGAAAAAGAGAGCCAAATAATAAGATCTGCTTTTATGTTCTGACAAATGACTATGCGCATACAGAACCATGTTTTAAAAATCAGTATTTTCTAAACTCAAGTCTACCTAAAATCTAACCTTAAAGTGTAACGTTTTTAATCTCATAAAATCCTTTGCATCATTAATCCTTCTCATCAAGTCATTCTTCTCTTGTTTGCTCGATGAAATTCGAGTATGGCTCTTTTACTTAGTTTATCGTAATATTTATTTATTTGTTTGTGTAAAAATTATTTGTCCCTATCTATGTGTATAAAAGCACTGCAAAAAGCAGATACTCTTTTTAAAAGTCCCTCGTCCATAATTTTCGTGAAACATTTCCGTGCATAGCTGAGACACAAGTCGCAACAATAACGGATAAAGTATCTTCGTCCAATTTGCAAGAAGTCAATTTGATTCGAGAGGAACACGAACTTTGCCAACCTGCGCAGCAGCAAGAGATTAAACATTGTCGGTACTTTTTGATGTTTCACCAGATATTCAACTAAACGTGATATTTATTAGCCTGCGCACAGACTCGACTGGTTTTCCCAGAGATGAATCTAATTGATTGGAAATTTAGTTGATTGACATATTCCATTCAACTAAATTCATCACTGGGAAAACCAATCGAGTCTAATCGATGGAGCTAATAAATTCAAATAGCTCCGGATGATAAATGGATAAAAATGCCTTCTTGAAGAGATTACTGACTGATCGCAACAACGATGCATACTACAAGGAAAAGGTTCAATTTCTAAGCCGAAACAATGCCTAATTTGATAGCACACTTTGGGTTGAACGTTGACGTTTGAGTTGAATTGGTCAGAATCTGTTGTATTCGTTCACATTATAAGTCACGAGTCCGCGATTCTAAAAATAGATTTTATAATTCATCAACTATCCACTAGTCTTAGATTTCTAGAGGATGGGATATTTTGAAAAAAACCTTGGATACAAAAAAGATATGATGGTTGCAAAGGCTTTGCATTTCTAAGTTTAGTACATTCATTGGGAAACCAAAGTTCACATTTTATTTTTGTCCATTGCCAGTTTCGATTGAACATTTGTGTAGCGATCACTTGACGTAACTACTACACATTGAAAGAATGCACTGAGGAATGATGTATTCACATCAGTAGTGTAGAAGAGTTCGTTATTTGATTGACAAGTCTATCTCCTTTAGCCTCGCAGGGGCCTTGTTACTGCGATATTCTTCCCTCGTGTCTTCTTCCTTCAGTCGCCATTTTGTTTGGGTAAGGTGGGTCGTTTTTAAGGTGATTGACTGAAATGCTAAACGTCAAAGTGCAGTGTTCCAAATGGGAATGCCTTCTTTGCAACAGGAGCTTCACTTCGAAGTTCTGCTATGTTTTGCATTGCAAAAATGTGCACAAGGAAGAGAAGAGGCAACCGCTGGTTGAATTCGATGGTAGGCCATTTTATGGCACCAATGAGAGACAGGAACAACCTGAAAAGGACTCTCTCAACAACGAGGGCTCCAACGTTCAGCAAGGTGAAAGTACTGTTGCGGCAGAGGAAGATGAATCGGTACAGAAAGACAACGGGCAGCTTCATACATGTTTAGTTTGCAAAAAGTCGTTTACAAAAGTGGCTCGTTTAGTCTCTCACCAAAGGCTACATTTGTCAAAACAAAAGGCCAAGCGAGTGAAAGATAGGCAGAACTGTCAGATCTCAGCTGACAAAGTTATTGCCAAGAGTCTAAACAAAAAAGGTAGATTTAAAAAAGTTTCACCTGTATTTAATCTATCAAACTTAATATTCCAGGTACATAACATATTTGTTTGAGCTCAAACTAATAATACAGAAAAGAGTAAAACTAACAGAGGAAAATTTTTTAAATTGGCCAACTGACCAGGAAGTAGATCAACGGTGCTCAGTAGCAAGCATAAATAATTCCAAAAACTCTCACTATGGAAAAACATTAGATTTGAGCTACATCAAACTGATCCAATGTTTTTGGGGGCTGCTAATACGAATTAGAAATGTAAAGTCAACTCAGTTATTATCACTTAGTTAAAAGTAACACTACTGATTACAGTCACAAGAAATTTAGAACTTAATGTGCAAAACTGTTTAATTAAGCACTGTTTACAGACACCCTCCACTTACTGTCAAAAATTTGGTGTGACATTAACGGGAGTCTACTGTATTTGACTTCATTGAAGATATTATAATGTGCTGTTAGAAAATGACAACTAAGCACAGTGGGTAGACTGTTAGTCTTGCATAAAAAGAGTTAAGGGTGAAAAAACTCTAGCTGATGCCTGTAGGTATATCCTGGATGAAAAGACAAGCGAGTAGTTAATTTAACCTAACTGTATTTCTGGAGACACTATGAAAAATAGAAGTTGGATCTCTAACAAGGTTGAATGAGAAATAGAAGCTCTGGGCAACTGCATAATAAAGTGATACTTTCCAAAATTTCAAATTTGATCATCCTTAGATAAGGTACCAGTTAGTAGTGTTTTTAACTTACTTTTAGTCTTTCCAAACCAAAAGTTTTTAAACTTTTTGCCAGTACAACAAGAAAAGCCTGAAGTTGACATTGGGGACCAGGTTTTGCCTGATGCCAGTAAGACAAACAAAGATGATCATATTTATGTTGTTGGGAGTTCTGATTTAAATGGAGAACATGCCGGTCTGCAGAAGCCCTTGAACATGAATATTGTGATAAGGCTAGCAGAAGATAAAGTGATACAACATGGAAAAGGAGGTTAGATTTTCGAGAGTATTTTTTGAAAGTTGGTATCAACCAATCTGTTGATCTGTAATTAAATTGAAATGAATTTAACGTTTCTTGACTAAATATAGTATACCTTTTGGAGAGTAAAATGGCCAGGGTGGTAAGATTGAGGGCAAAGGCGAGTTGAGGCAGGGGAAATTGGAAGTCCACACCCTTTTGAAACCAGTAAATGCCTTTTTTCAAAGAGATTTCTTGCCATTGGGGGGGGGGGGGTATCTGCTCTGTCTTGCCTCCCCCTCCCTACATCACTGCTTTAACTGCAAAGACTCAAAAAAATATTCAGAATGTCTTTCCCATTCTCCTGAGCATCACTCCTTTGCAGTAAAGAGTAACTCATTGATAAGGATTCTTTTTTTAAATAGTTTCATCTTGTCACCCACCCACTGTTGAGTACCTCTAACCACCTGGAAAGGAAGCATTATTTTCAAATTCTTCATCCTCAAGACTTTTGTAAATTTATAAAATGTCATTTCACTATTTACCAACAAAGATGCATATTTTAAACCATAAAAGTAATGTACACTTTCAGAACAAAATTATTGCAACACACAGATCAAAATGACATCTAAATTTTTTGAAGTTTTGCAAACTTATAGTTTTGTGCTGTTTTAATTTATAACTTTATGCTGCATAAGACTTATAGGTTATAACTTAAGCAAATTTTAAAACTTAAAGCAAACATTCCCCTCTAAAATAAACCTAATCATGCTAAACTAGGAATCAAACTTTTTGAGATTAATTGAGGATTTCAAAATACTTAGACTTACAATATTAACATAAGAAATTGTACAGTTATAAGAAAGGATATCTGCAGTGGTAAAATCAAAATATTGACAGGATAAGGAGCAAGAAGCTGTGATAAAACTTAGTGCAAATGGTCTTTCAATTCTAAAGATTTCAAAACATTTTATAGAAGATGATAGCATAATAGCAAGAGTTTTGGAAACAACAGATAAAGTCATTAATCACAACATTTTTAGCTCCAAAATTCTCCAACTCAACTTGGGTAATTTTTGGTACAGTTAGGCCCAGACGAATTGCTAAATCATAGACTAGCAACGTGCGATTTAATGCAGTGAAACATATTAAAATAATGCAAAACAGTTTCTTTGGTGGAATTGAATCAATGCTAGGAAAATAAGGGAGGCAGTCTTTTTCATAAAAAGCAATACACCCCCCTTACAAGGCCATTTTTGCTCTAATTTACCTGAAAATCTGCAGCTCTGTGTCCTTCCTCGGTCTTCACAAAGGCCTAAGCCTAATATTAGGGAATAATTCTTGTTGCTAATTGAAGTGATTTGATGTGTAAGCCACAAAGTTCTTTAAGGTCCAAACAAGAACTGACTTAGAGAGTTTATGGGGAATTGAGGAGAATCCAAATGCATCTCATCAAATAGTTTTATGCATTGGTTCCAAAGCGATTCTCCTCATTTATCAGAGCCAGAAGCACCTCACTAAAATGTCTGTTTAATTAAAAATTACTTGAATTGTTGATTTAAAATTTTCAGAAATGAAAATGGAATATTCGAATTTATGCTTTATTGTATTTACAGTTTTATTTGCATACTATTGGCTGAGAAAACAATAGTTTAATCAGACAACGACAAATATTATTGCGTGATCCGCCCTTAATCACCTTTGCAGGTGTTGCAACACTTTTATCCTGGTAGTGTACACCCATAATAGACCAATTCGACTTACGGCCTCATTTTGGAAATTTCTCCAAATTTAATTATACAAATTTTTTAAGCTCAGATTTGGTTTTATCACAATAGATTTAGGCTGGATACAATTTTTCATTTTGTTTGTGCTTGTAATTTAGATTTTATGGAGAAATGAAGTTTGAAAACTTGCAAGGGATTCGACCGCAAAAATCATTCCGGGTGAAACTTTACCCCCCTAGTCGCCAATCACGGTCAAATCTCTTATAAATGTTTTATCTTTATGTCGTCATAAGATCAATATCGTGAGCAATACCATAATGAAAATTTCCAAGTAGACTAAAATCATTGCTCTTAATCCGAATCTGAGATCAAAAATTTTGTACAAAAGAATTTGAAGTTTTTTTCAAAACGAGGCCGTAAGTCGAATTGGTCTATTGTAAATAAAAACCTCTCTTGATTGCTCTTAAGAGAACCATCTATTTGAAAGCACAAATTAAATTCTACTTTGTTGTTTTTCTGGTACACAAGGGGTACAAACACCTATCTATTTGATTAATATGAAGATAGACGATAAATAAATCAATTTCAAAATGTTTCACTGGTAGCTTTAATACCATTAAGTTTGCTGTATCGTCTCATCTTGAACAGGTTTTTGTAGGCCGTTCTTGGTGAAACTGGGGCTCGTAACACAATTTAAGCAGCTAGTTAAAGCAAAAAGCCAAAGACACTTGTTCTTTATTCTCATTGTAGGTCTTTGTATAAGCACTGGTGACCAGAATCCTGAGGTGGCAATCACTAGCAGTGCATATGTTAAAACATTTCCTCTATCCAGAAAACGTGGAAGGCCAAAGAAGGAACAAAGTGAAGGCATGGAGGAGGCAGCGGGTACTGAATTTGAAGAGCAGTTAGTGGAGCAAACATTAGTTTTCCCAGAAGTTCCAGCAGAGGTACGTTCAGGTAAAAAGCGATCTGGTGCAAGGAAGAAATCGCGTGAATGTGATGTCTGCAACAAAGTCTTTGCAAATCGTAGCAGTCTACGGGAGCATCAACGTATGCACTCCGGAGAGAAACCATACATATGTTCGATTTGTGATAAAGGGTTTATTCGCATGGGACACCTGAGGCAGCATATGTGCTCTCATACTGGTCTGTGGCCATTCAAATGTGGTGCATGTGGCAAAGGTAACTGCTTTTTCTTATTTGTCATTATACTGCTATGACACATCTCGAACACGCGCGAAGCTGAGCAGCTCTTTTATAATGCCTCTGTGCTATACTGTGCATTTGCTGGTTGCCATTGAAGATAATCATGTTGCGTTAATCATTCTTAAAGCATATTGATTGGCAGATAGGCTTCTCTAAATGACTCCAACTGGCAGATATTGCCTTGTTTTAAGCAAGGCATTAGTATTTTCTTGATTACACAATAGCTTTCTTTTGATCCATGAAACGGTCTCCAAGAAATAAAAAAATTATTCATCGCTCTTCAATTTTTTAAAAAAACGTAAATTTTCAAGATGGATTCTATAATATGCTATCAAACCATATGAATTTCTGCCAAATGCATAGATTTCTACCTTCTATCGACTTATGGATGTTTTTTTATTTTTTTTATTTTTTTGCATTTGTTAGCTCTAAGACACTGAGAACCTATGCTCACTGAGCAGTGCCCTGGTCTTTCTGGTCGATAAGACCACTCTTTGTGAATTACAGGAAGCTGGTGTTTCTTGTCAGTCTTGGTGAAAGTTTGGTCATGGGACAGACTCTAACTTTCGGTCCTATGATCTGTAGTCCTTGGTACTTATCACTGTATCATCCTCACACCCATGTTTTACAGTCCTATGTTACTGAAATTGCGTTTGTTTCATTCATCACATGGTTTTTATGTTTGATGTCATGTTTTTTTGACGGCCAATCTATATCTTTTGTGAATTTGAAGTCTGGCGTCCAGGAGAAAAAAACATTCAGCGATGCTGGTCAGTCAAAAACTCTTTAGAAAAAAAGAAGCTTCGCAGAGAAAGAAAATTTAAGTACGTTCATTTAAATTACTGAGCGTATTACTTCTGTATTACTTCAGTTAAATTACTCGACACAACATAACAAACAGCATCCTTCCCACCACATTTTCACAAACAGTTCTTTTTGTTGTTGCGGCTAAACCACCTTACTCCGTTGAAAGCTTCATCGCTACTTCCAAGGGAAAGAATCTCGTACATCTTTTGTAGAAACCCTATTATTTTATCTGATAATTCCTAGAAATCCTTTAATTTTGTTGGATAACACCTGAGGGGTTATTTGCAGAGGGGTCAATTGCTCCGTGGCTGCTTCTTCTTCCGCCGTGTTTTGGTTTTTATCCGAAAATGTGATTTTGCTTCTTTTCTCTGATTTCCTCTTCCCAACATCCTCGAAGATTTTTATCCAGAACACGGCAGAAAAACCGATTTTTCTATCGTCGACAGTGGAAAGAAGTATCACTGATTTGATATCAGAATATATTTAAAATCGCACATATTAAATCTGCTGTGTACAGTAGGCTTCGTTGTAAATATTTTGATTTCTTCTCAATAATTGATTTTAAGTCTGAATGATGATGTGTCTGTCTTGTAAGTTACAAGAAAAAATCAGCGGCAGACTAGAAAAGGATTAAATCGGAGACTAATTTTGAAACTGCTGGTGCATCTAAATATTTCATACTTGAGATGGTTTCAGCTGAAGTTGACCGTGAGGTTGTCATTTCCCTTAGTATTTTTGCAAATTTCACCAGATAGCGGTTGTATAGAGCCATAGTAGGATATGCTGCTGCTATCTGACCCTTTTTCCTATTTCTCTACTGAAAGGTACTGGGTTCACCTTCTGTTACGCGAATACCACTGTCGAGACATTTATTCTCCCTGGTAGAATTTGAAGTGCTGTCTTTTAAAACTTTTTCGTTATTTTTGATTGCTTCTGTAATTTTCGTATTCTCCTTAGAGTTTTGAGATATTTGCCTCTTGGATTTTTATGTCACTTTTATTTTCTGATGTTTTTTGAAGACAAGCTTGTAAAAAATGGGCTATTCCTTCTTTCAAGGGGAACGAAAGTCTAAAGAAATTTTGATTACCGACCATGTGAAAGATAAATTTTCTGCATCAGCAGGACAAATTGAAAAAAATTTGAAAACGATTATCTTGGTAAACTATAAAAGGTATAGAACTGCTGTCGGGGGGGGGGGGCTATGGAACTGCTGTCGGGGGCTGCCTTGTTGTCTAATTCATAAACCAACAATTTTAATGTTTTAATTGACCATCTTCGTGCTTAGAAGAAAGTGAGATATTTTTAGGAGACCTCGATTTATATTTCTTCCCATGTACAATCATTGCCAGAAGTCCTGGAACACTAACGTCAGTTTTCAAAGGCAAATTCAGCCACCCCCTCTCCCCCTAGGAACAATGTTAATTTACTATGGAAAAAAGGAAGGAGTTGTGGAGTGTGCTTTTTCTGGTGGCTTGCTTGATATTTTTTATGCTTTCAACATTGATTTGGAGGGAAAGGGGGACGGAAGTAGTAGTATTCGGGAAAACAAGTGAAAAGTAGAAAAGCACAGCGCAAAGTGTTGGGTGTTCCAAGTAATTTTGGCAGTGATTGTACTTTAATTTGTCGCGAACGATTATTTTGAATGCCATGTTTGATTGAAAATAACCCCAAATGCCGAATTAAGCGACTGGAAAATTTTTTCATTTACAGTTTCCACCAGCCTGAAGTGTATGATTAAAACTATGATCCTAAATTTTACTTGGTCGGTAGGGACTCATTCTTAAAACCCAGGGTCTCACAAGACTTTTCGGTGACCATGGTGGAACGTTGTCATAATCATCATCATAATCACAAGCATCATCACCAGCATTATGATTGTTAATCTTCGTCATCAATAATCAATCATCTTTATTATCATTAGAATCAACTAAACACAATCACTTGAATGCGCGATTGTCTTATATCAATTTTGACAAAAGCGAATGACATTCAAATGTAAAAGATTATAATCATTATTCGAAACACAAGTTGAGATAACATTTTGATACTTTGACATATTGCCAACATTGAATTTCAGATCTAAGATTTTACTGGAGGTTATAAAGTTTCATCTTTTGCCAAAATTTTCGTCACTTTTGTATATACCGTAAGTAAATTCATTGATTCGCTGATGGAATAACGACAAAATAAATATAGACTATAGATAGTGTCGTTAACAGACTGAAGGTAGTGTAGATAAGAGCAAACATACTTAGATATGTTATTAGGTGGATACCTCTTCAGTGGATACCTCGGCGGGAGACCGGCAAGGAGAGCGGATGAGCTACGACTCCAGGGGTCAACGGATTCGGGCGGAAGAACTCCTGGAAAGATGGATGGTGTCCCTTTAAAAACACTGTAGAGGTGGCTCTGGGGGCCCATCTCTACTATTAGCCCCTTAGTTTTATCTATGACCATGACAACAACCAAAACTCAGATTTTGGGATAGTTGGAGGGTCATGGTAGCCAACCTTCTGATAGAAGATGGTACCTGATTACCTCATCAGTGCAAACTTCAGTGCATTCCACTGGAATATGGTTTTTCTTTCCCATCCTATCAATGGTGGCAACTGGTAAGCGATGGTTTGCCGTCCTAAAGCGCACTGGAACCTCCTATAGATTAAGGGAGTGTTTGATGAGATTATTCTCAGAAAAAATGCTGTTTGTTATTAATTCATACATCTTTCCCATACTTAACGATTTTAATTCAAACTACCCTCTATATATAAAGCGATCATTTAAACATTTGACGATCATAGGTAATTGTGCAATTTTTTGCTATCACACTGGTTCAACCATACATGCTGTCTTCGAGTATTATCTAACGTCAATTCAACATAAAAGCATCATAGACTCGTTAATGATGAATGAACTATCGTCAAAATCAATCATTTTCCACGTGTTCATCGTTCTTTACCTTCATTCACTCTTCATACATCAGCAAGCAATTAAATTTTCAGTATATTTGTATGTGGGTGGAACATGCTCCTTTTAGAGCTGTTTACTCTCTCCAACGTGCTTGGTGCGGAGACAGAAACTAAACATATATGCGACTCAAAAAATTAGATACTTAACTGCTCAGCTATACATGCAAATTTTGTAATTCGATATGCTCACTTATAGTGTTAAGAATTGATTGAAACTTTTCCTTATAAAAAATCTTCAAGAAAATGCTAGCTGTGTCACAGAAGTTTTTAGGCTTGTTCTCAACTGATGTGGGAATCTAGAGGACTAACATGGTTAATGTCGCTTTAATAATTGCCAGTTTGGAACAAGAGCGTTGTTATTCTTCGTAGAGCTTTTTCAGGTTTAATCTACGTTTACTGTTGAAAAATCATAAGAACAGCTGCTCTTGCAACGTCTCCAGCCAATATCATAATAGCAGTTGCTCTTGCAACGTCTTCAGCCGATATCAACGGGCTGTTTTTGAATCAATTCAAAACAAGTGGACAACCGTTTTACGTTGACAAGAACCTGCAGCTTTACTTGGTTCTCTATTTTGCTCTTTTGCAATGTAGACTATTTCTCACTATCAATCAAAATTTGCAATATAGACTATCTCCCACTATCGACGTTTTTCAAGAGAACATCATTTTGACCATCACTTTCAAGAGTTTATCTCTTTATACTTTTTGACTTGATTCTTGACTTGATTTTTCTGTTTTCTGGTTATGCAAAAAGAATTATTCTTGGGAGGGGTGTAGCCTATAGTTGGACCAACTCTCGTCAACAATAAACTGAAGTAGCGAGGATAGGTCAGTGGTTAGAGTCGCAGGCTACAAGGTCTTGGGCTCGAGTCCCTGACATGACTAAACTCTAGGTTAGATTGAAGAGATTCGCCATCTATCTGTGATTCTAAGCGTAGGAATCACGCGGTGTGGTCACATCAAGTGGAAACCAGGACATTGCTTAATAAGCATAGCTTCAGTGTCCTGAAAACTACCTTGTTATGTGAGTTAAAAAGAAATACGACTTACCTAAACCGATGTTACCTAGAAGAGAATTGTACCATTAGCAAGAATCAAGATCGTGTCTCCTGCATTATTGCTTCGCTTCGAACCAACTGTTTCAATAACTTTTGAGGGGTTTAAAACCCCATTCCATTTCATTTTGCACCCTGCAAGTGATGATAATTTTCTTCAATAAGTACTACATTTTCTTTATTAGGAGATTATTAGCAGTCATTCAGATATTGTATTGGGGGCAAATAGCCCCATATCTCATAAACGGCCTCTCACCTGACTAAAGAACGCCAATATTCGGATACTAGACCCAAAAGTTGACCAAAATAGTGTAGTCTTGTAAATTACCTCTCTTGGTGGTAATACTCCCCTTCTGCTACCGGACTATTTCTGATGGGGTGTTTCTATAATTGATCATCTCGAGTTCGTGGAGCTATTTCTCAAGTGAGACGAAAGGCGCAAAAATACAATAGCGGCAAATATCATCAAGATTTGTAAATTCTTCTGTAGATCAAACAAGGTCCATTGTTACTCAACGAAATTCAGATTATCATTCTAAAAGTATTTTGCTCTATTCTAAAAGAAGTTTTACGATCTAAATAATGTAAGAAATAATGCTTCCAACCATTTTTCGCTGGCTTGCCCCCCTGAGCGATTTGAGCTAGTTATCGAACCACAGAATTCAATCATGGATATCACCCTCTGCACAGCTAGTATTTGCGCCCCTCGTTCCATTGTTTATTTGTGTTATACACATCTTATGAATTTTGTTTGCTTTAAAGCAAGTTTGGCCTTTTAGGTTTCATGAATCCGAGTCGTGTGACACGTCATATGAGGGTTCATAATGATGAGAGACCGTGCGTCTGCGACCAGTGTGGAGAAACATTTAAGGAGCCCCACCATCTTTCGAGGCATATGCACCTTCACAGTGGCTTAAAACCATTTAAGTGCCCGATTTGCGAAGACCGGTATTTCATACAGGCTGGTAATTTGAAGATCCACATGAAGACACACGAAAGAGAAATGGCAGACTCGAAGATCACAATTTGTGATGTTTCACATGAAGTATCACTCACATCCACAAACCAATCAGCAGGTGAGATTTTGAAAATGAAAGCCTGAGGGCTTCTTAGCATTTTGATGTTTATTATGTAATTGCTAATTGCAGGATGAATGGTGGGGTTTTAGATGTTACCCTTTTTTATGTAAAGATTTTCAGAACGAGGAGGTCCTTAAGTATTGAAATAGTAATGATGAATTAATAGTAGACTACATTAAGGGATACATTAAGTTTAGATTTATAGTAAGGGGGTTTATAGATAATGCGTAAAAGAGACAAAGCTTGTTGACTTTGTCTAGCTAAAAAGAATTGTGCCCCATGCTGTTTGGTGCCACTTCTAATGTGGCAAAAATATGCCTGGCAATAGGTTATTGTTAAATTTTGCTTTTGTTTTAGATGAAGAGTTGTCAGGTGCTACTGAAGAAAGTGAGACAGCTATAGAAGAGTTGCTGATATCATCTGACGGAAAATGTGATGCTAAAGATGGTGAGTCGTCTGATCCAAATTCAAAGGAAGCTTCGATTGAAACGGGAAAGGCTGCTGCAAATGAAGATGGAGACTTGATGCCCAATCTTGTAAGAACAAATGAAAAAACAAACGAACCTAATGAAACTGCGGTGGAATCTAGTGGAGAGGTTTTAGATCCAGGGTCATCAGAATTGGCACAGAATTTAGTAGGCAGTCAAATCGTGTTACAGATTGTACAAAGTGAAGATCAAGATTTCCAAGTACAAGGTTTTCAAGCATTAACATCTTTAGATCCCGAGTTGTTACGGCAGCTGGCAACATCAGTCGCCCAGGAGATGCAAAGCCAGTCGTAAATAAAAGCCAATTTGTTTAGCGATATCGAAACCAATTCAAGAACGAGAGCATAGATGCTTTACGGTAGATCAGCCTGCTCAAATATTGCGCGAAGAATGTTCACGATGTTTTTTCTAATTGAAAATACGATAGGTCAATCAAATATAAAAAAGTCTGATTAATGCTTCATGCTTTCGGTTGCAGAGAGTATTTTGAATTTCCACAGAACAGACTCGTGCCGTATAACGTTCTTGGCGAAAACAAGGTTTGATGTAAGGATAACATCACTTGTAGGCCGTGATATAGAGAAAGTCCTGTGAGTAGACAACATTGACTTGAAACAGAGAATGTGTTTGTGTATATATGGTATCCCGTGAAATGATCTTTCACATAAAAGAATTGTTTGAGTTATGTTATTTTATTGCACAGCCTTGACATTTGTCTTTTATTAGTCACTGTATTCTGCACTAAAAGTTAAAAATACTTTATTTCTCCATGAAATAGGAATGATCGACCTGGCACAAACTGTCTATTTGAACCAATTCTAATTGGTTACATTTGAACGAGTTGGGTTTGCATGATCAGTCATTATAAAGTGCTCATTTTGGTCATATCAGGGCAAAATGATTGCTATAACAGTACGTTTCAACCGCTCTCTATTTCAAATAGAAAATTTTCGAAACAACCGTGTAGTTTTAATGAAGCCACTGTTTGCCTACTGCTCTTTCTTAAGATGCCAAGACGACTCTTTCAGTAGAAGGGACAGATTAATAGATATAACAGAAACGTGATATCACAAAGAATTATTATTAGAAAGGATTTAGAGATAAAGGAAATGCAACACCCCTTTGCAATAAGCTTTAGTTCTTATTTGAGTAAGCATATGAATTCATTACTTTTATTTTAAAGTTTTCGTAAGCGTATCCATTGTTGTTATACCACTTAATCTTTTAGGGTTTTACACAGCCTAGGGATATTGTTGTATTTCGGAGATAATGAATGGATGTAGAGTCCATTTGAATGAATAGTGAAATGTTCAACTCCTTTACTTTGTTATTCGAGTACTATTCGTAGCATATTTTCAAAGATAATAGGTCATAGGTTTAGGATACATTATATTAGCCTCAGTTCTCTTAAATAAGGCTTCCTATACAATGCCATCTCCTTCAGGATCAATTCTCTAATCGTGGTTTTTCCAACTGAATTGTGTATTCGGTTTGGTCCTACCTGTTGGGAAAACATTTTTGGAGGACCGCCGGTCGAATTTTACACCTTATGTCGAGAGGATAACCAAAAGAAGTTTTTTGATCATTTTCAACTTGCTGTTGATATATTTTTGCTGAAAATCAAAGTATGCAATGATGAACTTCAAAGCAACAACTAACGCATCATTGTTCCATGAAATGCCACTTCTTTCAATGACCTACAATGTTAAGATTAGACAGTTGACAAACCTATATATACCTACAAACGGGTTAAAAGCTGTTTCTTTTTCTCAAGAAAACAAGTATTCCACGAGGGCCTACTTTGCTGTTTACCCACAAACTGTAAATGATTTTAACATAGTGACAAGACTATTGCACTGTTACAATGCATCATAATGCAAATCAGTTGTAGAAATTACTTGGAATTGTTGTAATGATCAGTACTGATATCAGACATGCATGTAGTCATATCTTCCTCGTCAACAGTTGTCAATACCAAATTACTCTTCCTAGTTACTAACGCTCTCTAGGAAAATATCAAAGACAAACACCGACTATTCTGTGACACTTTTGTATTGGGATCGCTTTACTAAACAAAATCCTTCTTTTGTCTGAAATCTTGGATTAAATATTTGTCAAGCCGAATAAAGAATGTTTAATGACTGTTTTGTCCAGGGAAATGCAGGTTGTTGTCATAAAGATGTCACCTGAAGGTGAATTTGCTGACGGATCTCCATTCATAATGAAACATCACTGACTTCAAATATGCAGTATTTGGAAGCCTATCTGTCACTGAAATTGTGAGTTGCTTTCCGTAGATCCTTCTCTATCGTTTTAATTTCGGTAGGGGAGGTCAGAAGCTGTTGACATTTGATGACGAAAGGTGCAGGCATTATTGAATTGCTACAAATCTGATGTCCAAACAGGATCCACTAGATTCATTGAATTAGCATCGAAAGATCCTCAGTAGAGTACTCAAGTCGCTTTATGTGACGTATATTGAACGAGTTTATAGTGGTTATCTATCGTTTGAGAGTATTGACTCAATAACAGAGTCTAATGAGGATCGAAGAAGCTTTTTGATCATCTATTTACAACTGGGTGACTTTTGCAGTTGTGCCTCAGTAAATCACATCACAGCATTGCCTCAATTTATTGACCATTGTGTGAAAAGTCTAGAATGATTTGCATTGAAATTGATTTCCCGAAGATCATCAGTCCTTCCACTCCAAATATTTGTTGTTCATGAAGTCAGGGCTGTATCTTCCTGCAACAAAGGAGGTGATAACGCTTGATCAACCATTTGCTGCTTCACAATGACAACAGACAACACGAGCTTAGTTAATGGCATCCTATGACTAGTTTTGGAAGATTGCTGTTTAGATGACTGTTTTCATCCACGGCTGAATTTTTTGGAGCAAACACAGTAACAATTAAACACAAACCTGCTGCAGTTGAGTTTTCTTGTGCTCGAGAAACATTTAACTTCTCAGCTGAACATCCCTCGACATGAATCTTATAAGCAGCTGAGTTTTCTTGTAAAACTTTTGCTTGGTGCAGAGTGTATTCTAAGGTTACTTTTTTTCAAAACATTTTACAATAAAAGGAAAAACGTTTTGGTTTTGGTCTCGAGTCGTTTGCAGATCATGTCGTCAATATCCTGCAAGGAATGTTACGATGCCATTATGCTGTCAGAAAGGGGTGGATTTCTGGATGATTCAATGCATTATCTGTCCCTTCACGATGATGAACTATCATTGTTTTCGGTTGAAGAGAGCAAGGAGTACATGATAGAAAGTCCAAGGTACAACTATTTGCCAGACATTAAGGATGAACCATGGACCCCTTTTGACATCCGTCAGACCCTAAGAAAGGTGAGGTTTTACAAAAAATTGCGCTGGTTCGTTGACATCAAAAGCTTCTTAAAAGGTGAACTGACACGCAAAATTAACTTGACCTCAAATGAAAGCATATCGAGCATAAAAACCTGGGACATTGTCAATTT